GGCCCTTCCTCAAACTGCAGTCCATACCTTCATAATTGCAGTTCTTCAAATCGCATATAGGTGCTGAAACCATAACGTTTAATGAGCCATAATACAAGACACTTCCACACAACGTCCTTTTCTCCATTGGTGGAGACCTCTTCTGAGGACAGATGGATTCCTCCCTAGTCTCCACAACTGGCATGGGATTGCTGGACCAAGTAGCCATTGAACTATTTACAACATCCTTAGGGGTGTTTCTGACAGTAATATTCTGGGTTGATTCAGCTCTGAAACTCCTCCACACAAAGTAGCCTGTGGATCTAGCTCAGCATATTCCCAAATAAATGCAACATTTCTTGGTGGGAATTAATGCCATGAGGCAGCTGAAAAAAAGTAGTGGTTGTATTCTGACAATGCACCATTCCAGAAGTTACTTTCTGTGTGTAGCATTTCCCCCTGACCAGGAAAGCAATCTTGGAGTCATGATGGATACTTCAAGGAAAACGCAGATTCAGTGTGCACCTGCAGTGAAAAGGGCCAATTCTATTCTAGGGATTGTTAGGAAAGGGAATGAAAATAAAATGGCCAGTATCATCATGCCATGCCCTAGTATAGATCTGCAGTGTCTGGCTGTATTTGGGATATTGTGCACAGTTCTAGTTGCCCCATCTTGTGGGTAGGTCTGGACATGTACAGAAAAGGGCAACCAAAACGATCAAGGGATTGGAGCACCTTTGAAATGAGAAAAGGCTAAAGAAATTGGGAATTTTCAGTTTTGGAAAAAGATTAGCAAGAGCATTCATGATAGATTATAAAATTATGTATGTTATAGACAAAGTGAATAGAAATAATTTTTTCTCCCTCTCACATAAGACTTAGAATTTGGAATACCCAATTAAGTTGATGGGCAATAGATGCAGGACAGGCAAAGAAAAATACTTCTTCACACAACATAGAACTGACTTGTGGAATTCACTGTGCAGGATGGCTTTTACTTAGCTGGCTTTAAGAAGGAATTAGACAAATGTGTGGAGAATATTAGCCATCATAAAACATGGGACATCAGAAACTTTTTATTTTTGAATGGCATGGGGGGCAGCAATAGGAGACACTTTGGCTGTGGGCCCCTGCTGTGGTCATTCTGGGGTTTCTGTTCCACTGTGTGGAACAAGATGCTAGACTAGATAGACCATAGATTTAACTAAGCTTTTCTTATGTTGATGCTGCCAGTGCTTCTTTTATCCCCCTCCCCACCAAATCATGCAAATATCCACTGATATCTACCCTCCCCTGGATAGCTCAGGCTAGCCCGATCCGGTCACATCTTGGAAGCCAAGGAGGATCAGCTCTGGTTAGTATTTGGTTGGGCGACCACCAAGGAATACCAGTGTTGTGATGTGGAGGCAGGCAATGGCAAACCCCCTCTGAATGTTGCTTGCCTTGAAAACCCTATGTGGTTGCCATACGTCAGCCATGACTTGATGGCAAAGAAATCCAACAACCATTAATATGGTTAATATGTCTAATCCTTTTCTGAAACCATCTAAAGCTAACTGCCATTGCGATACGGTGATAAATTCCATCCTGCATTTGTATCAAAAAGTAAAATACGTGGTAGGAACCAATTTTCAACTTTTCCTTCTGGTGGCTCCACTTCCCCGGAACAGCTTCTGACACCATTTAGTCATCATTTTCAGGAAATTTTGCAATGCTGTTTTCTATAAAATCATCTAACAGTACTGAGGAAGAGTAGAACTGATGCTTTGGTGTCAGTTGCCATTTATCAATGATTAAACATTTAACAAACAGATGAACAAACCTTTTAAACAAAGCATCTGTGCATTGATTAAAGGTAAAGGTAAAGGTTCCCTTGCTCGAAAGCCAGTCGAATCCGACTCTAGGGTTGCGGTGCTCATCTCCGTTTCAAAGCCGAAGAGCCAGCGCTGTCCGAAGACGTTTCCGTGGTCATGTGGCCGGCATGACTAAACACCAAGGCGCACGGAACGCAGTTACCTTCCCACCGAAGTGGTCCCTATTTATCTACTTGCAATTTCTTGCTTTCGAACTGCTAGGTTGGCAGGAGCTGGAACTAGAGACAGGAGCTCACCCTGTCTTGCGGCACCCGGGTCTTGAACCGCTGAACTACTGACCTTCCACAGCCTGCAGTTCAGCGTCTTAACCACTTGAGCCACCGCAGCTCCTCTGTGCATTGATTGCACATTGCAAAAGACATACATTATTGATCAACAAGTTTGAATAGCTGCCTGTAATGAGAATCCACAGAGTGAAATATCATGTGATAGTGCAATTAACACGACTGTCATAAAGAATTCACTTCCAATAGTTGAGCTGGATCTCTGTATTAAAGCTAGTGTTATACAAATGAAGTCTTGTGTATACTTTTCTGTTACACAAAATCCCATACATGTATGGGTTTTGTTCCATATCGTGAGGGGAGAAACTAGAATCCAGCTGAAGTTTTAAAATGTTAAAAATACCACTATCAGCAAAGACACTGTTTCAGATTTCGGGTAGGAGGGTTTTCAGTGTTAGAAGACAAGATTCCATATCTTCTGATATCTTTAAGATTAATTGACAAAAAAGCACTTGTGGTTACTTATTCTTCATAACAACCAGAAATATTCCTCAGTAACCATCATGTGCAGTATGAAATCCAGGGGGCTGTCTCCTGCTCCCCCCAAATTCTGCCCTGTGGCAAAGTACAAATACTACAGTAGTAGAAACACTTAAAGCTATACTTTCAGAGCCAAAACTGTATTTTTAATTAATATATCTAGACAGCAACTGCTTCCATATTGCGACAGACTTTTAGTGCTGTGAATGCATTCAATGGAGGAGAGGAGAATTGCTGTGTGCCTGAGAATGAAGCAGAATGAAATAGCAATGTCATATTTCACAATCTCAAAGCAACCTAGTCTAAGACCCAAACTGGATATGACATTGTTCCTGGGTTCACCTGTGTGTATCCTTTGGGACAGCCAGGTACGTTCTTTTTCAATCACATTGTTATTGTTCCCATGTCCAAATGGCCATAGGGTCTGCCTTAGTTTCTCAGCCCTTTTTTCCTTTTGTCATTCCATCCCATGGCCACCAGCATCTTTGTGCACAATGATCATAAAGATACCTGTACTGCTGTAACCACAGATGGCCAAAAGGTGGCATTTACAGTAAAAGTGTAGCATTTGCTTTTATGTTTTGATATAGAATGAACCATTTAATTTGTCATTCCACTGACTGAGGCAGGTGCTCCCCATTGCGCAAGAATATTGTACAGCTGCTTGTTCCATGAATACTGAGGGAAAATCCCATTTCTGCCCTTGTAAAGAAAAGTTTGGTGTTCAACACTGTGCACTACCAGACATCTGTAGGTCTGACTGTATGTTGCAGTGATGGTGTAACTGCAAAGTTGTATACAATGGACCTCGGTGAGGAGGAAGTACACTTTTGAAGTATGACAATAAAGACTTTAAAACACAGGATGGCCACAAGTATGGCCATGGGTAACCCACACTGAAGCAGTCGTTTTAGATGGATTGGGGGGGGGCACTACTTTAATTTAAACCGTCACCGTTCAGTTCCAGAAATAAATACAACCCAACTTCTTTCTTTCTAAAAAGGCCAACCAGCAGCATGTGAGGACAGTGGTGGGCATGAAGGCATAGGAAGGGGAGAAGCTGTAGCTTAGTGGCAGAGCATCTGCATGGCATGCAGAAGGTTCCAGGCTCAATCCCTGTCATCTCCAGTTAAAAGGAGGAGATAGTAAGTCACATGAAAGACCTCTGCCTGAGATTCTGGAGAGCCACTGCCAGTCAGAATAGACAATACTGATCCTGATGGACCAATGATCTGCCAGTCAGAACAGACAGTACTGATCCTGATGGACCAATGATCTGATGCAGTATAAGGCAGAGTCATGTGATGGCAGAAAAGATAATTGAATCACTTGCTTTGGACACTGCCAATGCCTCCCCGTTCCATCATTCTCTTATCTGCATCTCAACTGTCACCCTCCCATGACACAGCAGGGGAATAGTTCTCAAGAAGGGCTTTCCCCTGCTGGATGCCTTCAAAGAAAGAATTTCCTCTGCATACGACCAGACAAAGCATGTCCGATTCAAAGTCTGAGGAGGGTGCTGTCTGGTATTAATGTCCTGATCGGCATATGACAGCATGCAAGGTGTTCAATAGGCGCCGTAAGGTATCTAAATTACATGGCTCCCTTCTGCCCAAGGGAGTTGCTTTCCATTAACAGCACACCGTATCACGTTAAAGCAGGACTCTATAGAGGTGATTAAAAATCCTCTAAATAAGTAAAGTTTCTGATTTACAGCGATAGATCGGCTGGGGTGAAATTAGTACTCTGCAATTAATCTGGAATGAGGAAAGAAGGTCTGACAGGCCATGGTAGTTACAACGGGCCACGTGATATATCTCTTGTAAACTCGCTAAATCCAATTGGGGTCCTTTCACTGAAACGGTACAACGTATTGTTTTTTACTCCTGCAAAGCAGCATTGAGGCGCCAATTCGAACATTTCAAGAATGGCAGATCCAGCCGAGGCGGGTTATGGCTGACCAAAGAGTCCGCATCAGAAATGTCAGTCCTGCAGTCCTGTGCCTACGGGTCCACCCGAGCAGCACCGATGATCTTCCTCGGAAGACACAGAACGTTCCCCTCCACCTCCTCCCAAGTTCACACACAGGGAGCAAGCGCTTGTGAGGTTTACATCGGAGGCACCGTGCATAAAACACAGCAGAACGCCAGGTCTCCATAACCCAAACGAACATCCCACCAGCATCTTGTAAACTCGCCCCTTTAGCCAGGCGTCGGAGACTTTTGGTACGGCGGTCACGTTCCACGCGATGCACGCTGGGATTTGTAGTTGGGTCCGGGTATTTTGCGCTCCGCCCACCCAGTAAGAACGGCTTCAGGCCTGACGAACGACAACAATTAAAAAAAAAAAAAGAACAGAAAATAGACGGGGGTTTGAGAATTTGAAAACTCCCGCGACGGCTGTGATTTGCTCTCGCGAGATCGGGGTCTTCCCTTTCGTTCCCCCCACCCTTTCTGCTGGCTGCCGGTGAGTAATGGGGCGGGGGGGGGAGTGGAGGAGGAGGTTACTGCGCAGAGAGAGACCGACCGAGGAAGCGCGGCGGCCTGAGCGGGCCCGGCCCAGAGAGCCTATCAGGCAAAGGGCGCACGTTCGTTTCCTCCTTTAACCGCTGCAGGGAAGAAAAGGAGAGGGAGATGGCCCTCCTTTGAGCGAGGACCCCGCGGCGCGGTGGAGGCGGTGACACCCGTCTCGGCAGCAGGTACCCGGCAAGGGGGAGAGGCGGCCCGGCCGAGGGATTAGGCGGCGGGGCTGGCCTCCTGACTAGGCCCAGTTACTGCCTGGGGGACCGAGAGGAGGCCTGCGGGGTGCCGCTGCCGGCCGCCTTACATAAGTGTGCGCTCGTACAGCAGCACATGGCTTGCTGGCTGCTTGAGCCGCCTCCCACCCTCGGGCAGCCCTGTGCTTCCGACGACTCCCCCCCCCCCCCCAAGACTTTAACCGGGGGGCCGAATGGGGGGGAAGGAACCCTCTTGCCCACCGTCTCTCCCCGCCTTAGGTTGCTTTCAGCCTCGGCGACGTGCCTGGGGGAAGGCCGCGGAGGGGTTGGGGGGGGCTGTCCTGTTTTGCAAGGCGGCAATTGCAGGCTGTAGCAAAACGTGCTGCCGCCGATTAGGGCGAGCCAAAAGCTGAAATGTTGGGGCAGAGGAACCTCTGCGCTCTATCGCCGGTTCCTCTTAGAACGAGGGGGCCCTTTGATTGTGTCTGGAATGGTTACTTATGATTATGTGGAAATAAATCCTTTCCTTCTCTTTCTCCCGCCCTATTTCACCAGCACAACAAGCATGTGACAGGCCCTAGCGAACATTTAACACTCTGGTGAAGTAGCCTGGGGGGAGTCCATGTGACTAACGTGAGCCGAGTTTTAAATCTTAGCTTTTGTAGTTTGAACAAACGTATCCTTGTTCGATTGTAAGTAAGTTCCAGATTGTTCAAGGTGTCTTACTTCCAAGTAAGTGAGCATACGGTTGTATTGTTAAATGACAATTTTAGGCATACGGATGGATATTGAACTCGCTTGGGCTTGGCTAGAGCTTTTGAGAAGCCAGGAAAGCCATGTGCTTTGGTTGGGGTGAAGGGCCTGTTGTGGCTCTCTACAGCCTGGGGTTTGTTTCTGCAAGCTAACATAGAATTACTGGCATGGTCTATGCATGCAGGAGAGTGATGTGGTAGAAAGGACCCCCATCACTTCACATTGCAGGTGTGATGCTATGATGTGTACGTTTTTAAAGCTCTCTTTGAATGTAGTTCAAACTTGACATCAAACTCTGGGTCGTCTTAGATAAATTGCAGTGCAATCTTACGCTGAGTTGCTTCAGCCTCAACCTATATTATAATCTGAATTTGATTGTCATGCCCTTATATTTAAACACTCTGGGTCATTATTTAGATGACTGTATTTATGATGGATGTTCTGGCCAGAGAAATAGTCAACATCTTGTAAGGAGACTAGTGTTCTTGTTTCTAGCCGCAGAACAGAGAGGACAATACTAGTTTCCAACTCAATTGGTATAAAGACACAACGTGTGTAGGCATAGGTTTACAGTGACATTGCAGTCCTAAACAAAGTTAAACCTTTTGAAGTCCATTGACTTCAGTGGCTTTGCTGATGTGTAATTCTTGTTAGGATTGCAGTATAGGTATTCTTACTGTGTTTTTTTGGTGTAAACATATTTTTGAGAGTTGGTGTAGTATAATGGCTAAAAGTTCAAATAATAAATCAGGAAGTCCCCAATTCCAGATTGACTTCTGCTGTGAACTCAGGAAGTTGTAGTCTCTTAGTGCTAAACCCCCCCCCCCCACAGGGGTAATGCTTGCCCACTTTTCATGGTTATTGGAGGAATTGCAGCATGATAGTGTGTGCTTTTGAGTATTTGAAAGCACCGTACAAATGTTAGTGGTAGAGTTTTGTCCTTTTATTTTCTCAAAAATTTGGTTGAGAAACCAGAGCTGTGAGTAGATCCATTTGATTTGAAATAGTTTGTGTGTTTCAGTGAGATATTCCTTCTAATAAGAAGTGCACAACTTGCAGACCCAATTATTCCATATACACACTTATCCTGTAAGCTGAAGTAAACATTGAATTTAATGTGGCCGGAAGAATATGACCTCCAAAATGGACTTCCTCCCCGTACTTGTTCCTCATCCTGCATGTTCCCCTCCTCTGAAAGCACTTGGCTATTGTAAGTCAATAAAGTGGTAAAGAACCTTGGAAAGGATTACCTTTATGTTTGTCAATATCTTGGCTTCCCTTATCTCTAGGTCAAAGAAAAAAGTAACTAAGCACTTTAGATCCCCAGCTTTTCTTGAATTATGAACTGTTTGAAGCACCCAAAGTTGCAGCGTGCATTGCAGGAAGCATGGCAGCAGTAGAGACTAAGAGTCCGTATATCTCTTGTGTTACCAGTTTTATTTCTAGTATTGACAATCGTCTCTCTGTGTGTAAGGGAAAGTAAATAGAGATTGAATGGGGGCATGGTGGTAGTTTGAGAGCTGTTAGAATTTATTAGGCAAAGATATAGCAGAACTTGACTGGTTGGCGCCAAGATCTAGCACTCTGCGACCAGGTTTTTGGGACGTGATCTATCTAGGAACTGAAAGAACCTTGTCTCACCTTATGAAGAGCCAGCGTGTTGTAAAGGTTATACTAGGATCTGGGAACCCCAGGTTCAAATCCCAACTCTGCCATGGAAGTTTGCTTGGTGGCCCAGACACACTCAACTTCTTACCTCACAGGGTTGTTGTGAGGATAAAATGGAGGAAAGAAGACTGATGAAAGCTTCTTGGGATCCTCACTGGGGCAAAATGTGCGGAGTAAATAAAAAAAATAAAAAAACCCTGCTTGAGGTAGGGAAAAAAATCCTTGGAGGAGCACATGTGAGTTGACTCTCCAGTGCAAACTGTTCAAAGGCTTTAATTAGTGCAGAATTCAGTGGCCTGCTTTTTAACTGCTGTTGACTGCTTAATGTGTTTATGTGATACTCTCATGATGTGATATCCTCACATTCTTTTACAGACTGCAATTTTAATGAGTGTTCTAGGGATTATTTTTAAAGGGGGTACTTCAGAACTGGCCATGGAAGTTAGGGCTGTGAATTCAAAACCTTAAGCAAGGTCATATATTGAATTTCCAGCTATTAAGAATATGGGAATTGGTATTTCTATATACTATAGCAGAAAGAGGAATGGGTGTAAATAATACTGTGTGAAAGCAGGAAATTGAACAGACAACTTTAAATAGGACAGGCAGTTCAGTGGGAGCTCAATGTCTCCTTTCCATTACTTACATGCTGCTAGTCTTGCTAGTGTGCAAAAGTCCACCAGGCCTCATCAGGGATACCTTCAAAACAATATGGCTGATCAAAGCTACCTATTGTAGCATTGAATTGTATAGAAGTAAGTTAGTAACACTAAGATTAGAGAAACCTGTTATTTGGATAGCCTGTTACAGAGATAGTGGGTAAGATACAGGGCCTTGAGTCAGAACTCATTCAGGGAAGAAATCAATAGTGTTATACTACTTTTAAAAATACATTTGTTAGAAGTTGAGTTGCAGATTGTTTCCAATTCTTGTTGCCTTTGCAATGTTTAACACCTGTATTTGTGGCAATGTGTTTCATAGTGCTTCAGGAAACTGTTCCCAAACTGTGAATTGGACTGATTGTAATAATACCATCTCTATGAGTGGCCTTGTCAGCCGCATTCTTTGCAAGATTGTCTTATTTCTTCAGCTGATTTCTGGATGCATTCATACATTTTCATTTAGCATGTGACTTTGCAATTGCACTTGTTCAGAGAGTGCTCAACTTGTTCAGAGAGCGCTATGCTGTGGGCTGGCCTTTTGGCTTTACCTTTCTCCTTTCATTACCACTGCTAATATATCTAGCTTTTAAAACACAATTCTAAAAATTACTGTTATCAAGATGACTTTTTTGTTACCTTTAATCCTATATTTGACTTCCAACACATTGAAAAAAATTGTGCATATAGTTTCTTGCTGTGTTTAGCTGTACATCTCTTATTTTTAAAGCTCTATGTTAATCTCATAACTAGGAAGGAAGGTTTAGAGGGCATGAGTGGGGGAGTAGCGATGTGCATAGTAAGTGGACTTTGCTGGTTTGGTCCTTGGCAGTCATTTAAGTTGATAACAAAGGCTCCCTTAACATCAGTTGTGTGAAACTGCGGACATAGACACCATGGCTTAATCCAGTAGAGGCATATGCCAGTTGAGTACATTCTACGAAAGCAGCAGTCTCAGTGGGCTCAATGGACCTATTCATAGTTTGTTTTATACCTAAGATATCAGACCCTACCATGCACCTGTGCATAAACATATACAAAACCCGGCACATTGACATCATTTTCTAAAAAAAAAAGTCAAGATTGCCAAAGTATCATTGCAAGTATACATACATGGTTTCTCAAATTAAGTGCCTGTAAGGAAATGTTCTCCTATGGAGGTTTAGTGGATAGGTTGCTTTCACACTGCATATCACACTCTGGATCATAGTAGTACATTTGCTTGCTACTTGGTGGTACTTTCTTAATAGGATAATACTGACTTTGAGTAATGATTTAGGGTAAAGGATCCTGTTCTGTTACAGAGTTAGTTGCTAAATTTTCATCCTGTTATTGTTTTCACCCTGGTTCTGGGGGTGTCTTTGATCATGGCTTGGATCTGCAGAACTCAACCGCAGTAAGGATTTTTGCCACCTGCCCTTGTTTCAGCAGTGTTCTCTGTTGCCGTGACTACCAACTTGCCCCTGCCAAAGTTGTTCCAGACAGGCATGAGATGTGGGGCTGCAGCAAGAGGTGAAATTAGCAGAAATCCCCTCTCTTACCCAAGTGGAAATGCTCCATTCTGATAGGGATATTGGATCCATCTTTGTGCAGTGTAATTACAGAACTAGATAATATCAGATGAGGGAAAAGGCAAACATTGCACTTTAAAGATGGTATGGATTAATTTAATTCAGTTTCATGTGGTAGGTTCCTCTGTCTCTTAAATAAGCAGAGCAATGCCTCAAAGTATCCCAATTTTAGATCTGATGGCTCTTACCACAGGAAAATAAAACACTTGTGATTCACATATAACTAAGCCATTCTGTTCTTTGAGTCCAACTGAGAATTCTAAGGCAAAGAGCCTTTGTTGGCCGCAAAATTAAGTTGGAAATTAAGGAAGGCAAGGAGGCAGCATAGCACATATCACCTCAACATTACAGAAAATTGCCTTTACAGGTGTTACATCTAAGGAGTCACAGAGAAAGAACAGAAACTTTACAACACGACTTCCCTGTTACTTTGTTCACCCCACATCGCTACAATTGATATCTTGTGTTGAAGCTAGCATACTACATAGCTGAATTCAGAATATCTTGCTGTTGGGACTGTAGTGTGTCAGCAGTCTCAGCTCATCTGCAGGGTGGGGGGGGGGGGGCATGTGCTTGCCTGTCCTTAGGTGGTGTTCCAACCTCCTCCAGCTCATGTGGCATCCTGGTGCTACCTTTTCTGTTTCTGTCACTGAAACCGTCCCCCATGTCAGTCCCTCCTGCGACACACATTCACTGTCCTACCAAAGAGAGGAACTCTCTCCAGGCCCTCTTGAAGGCCTGGCAGTAGCATGGGGCAGGAGTGGATCCTAATGATAAATGCCTGGCATGAGGAAGGGGGTAGCTTAGGCATGAGTCTTGGAATCCCCACAGAGCAGGAGGTGAGTAGAGAGGATAAGAAGGAGGTGGAGGAACCAGGTTTGCACCCTGCTGTTCAGGCCTCAGATCCATATCCTCACAGTGCCACCTGGCCCATTGTGGGCTTAGTTCGCTTAATGGAGTCTGGCTTGTATGAACATCACTCAGTCTCTGCAGTGGTTGTTATAACACACACACACCCCAAGTGTTACAGCTGCATACTTATGGATCTGCAAGTATAGAACCTGTTCTCTGGCTCAGGATATGATGATCCTGAAATGGCTTGGTTTTCTTTAATAAAAAATTAATAGAGGTTAAGAATTGGCTTCTAGTTCTTTTATGGCTAGCAGGAGAAGTTTAAACATCTGTCGAACACTTACTCAGAATCTTAGAAGCCACAGCAAGAAGTGAACCCTAGATAGCCCCATCTTTAGTTTCTCTTGTCCCTTTGCGTTAACTTCTCCAAAGTTCATATTTATATATATCTCACTGAATTCTTTTTAAGGTGCAGATTTGGTTGTCTTGCGTACTTATTCTAACTAGCATTTGGATTTGCTTGGTGCTCAGTATGCATAGTCTTAGCAAGAGGTACCGTAATAATTTTAGTTAAGGCCAATATGTAGCACTTCTGACTACCTGCTGAATAAATTTCCTTTTGTGTGTCTACAGCGAACAATGCGAGACCTAACAGCTCATGTAACCAGCAGCCTGTTGCAGTTTCCAGAAGTGACTACACAAGCTCTTGGAGAAGATGAGATAACGCTAGACTCTGTACTTAATGGGACATTCACTGGAGGTAAATTTGAGACTTGATTCCCCCCCGTTAGAGTGAATTCTATGTAATAGCCAGGACAAAGAATGATGTACTTAACTGGGAAAAGCAAACTGTATCTGTATAGAAAATAGTTTACTTCCCCTCCTGGTGAAATTAGTGGCCAGCTGCAACTTGTATCGACTCAGATGCAGAATAGGACCTTAAGGATGCAGCAGTTACATCTACATACAAATTTATATTGTAACAAGATGGATGTATGGATGGTTGGTAAGCTTGGAAATTTGGGAAGAAGGCATGTTACAGCTCCTCTGAAGGAGGAAATAAACAGCTTGACAGAGCTCTTGGATCACACTGTGCTCTGGATTCCCAGATGGCTGCAGTGGCTAGGGGCACTTTTAATCATCTTTAGCAGGTCATCTTTGTATGATACCCCTTTGACCATACATGGAACCTTCAGTATAGACTGCTACAATGCAATGTACATTTAGCTATCCTTGAAAACTTCAGTTAGTGCCTAATGCAGCCACCCACCTGTACTTGCATGTGGAAAAGAGCAAGAAACTCATATGTTGACCTGTCTGTGATGGTATAGTCTTTAGGCCCAACTTATCTTCTAGCGCTGTCAGTGACCTGGATACTATAGTTTTGGGGGGCACATCATGCCATTTGTCATCAAAGCCAATGTATACTTACCCTCTAACTAGCATTCCCTCATTCCTTCAAGTTCACTGACTTGAAGTTTGAAATCTGTTAAGGGCAGGTGGGGGATTTGACCTTGCATTTTATTTAATGTTGCTTTAGAGACACTAAACTAAGATGCATCACGTTACCTGTATACCTGAACCAATATAACCCTAGAGCAGCATTTCCCATCTCCAGGCAGTATGCATTTGTAATTCAGCTCCTTTCTTATCTTGGTTCCATTGTCCTCTTGGATTTCATGCTGGAAGTAAAACTAAGGGCTGGTTCAGTGCTCACAAGGAAGTTTGGTGCTAGTATAGGATGCTTTAAAAGTGTGAATGTGCATGGCAAGGAACTTCAAGATGGTACTATTTCTGTGTGGCGTGCCACAATGATGGGACAAGCTTTTTGGAAGCACTCTTATGGGGATTATACCATGCAGCTAACCCTGAGTGTGCTTATAACTCTATACATCTAAAAGTAATTCTTGAATATTAAAAAAACTATGTTGGTAGACAGTACAGTTAAAGCATAAGGAAAAATCCTGAATATAAGTACAGCAGTGGTGTAAATAGGCTGATAATCTGCAGTGCAAACAAATACTTTTTCAGTTCATCTGTTGATTGTTGTTGGAATTCCTCTGTAGTGTAATTGATCATAATGAGTGATCTGTGTGGCACCAAAACTTTATATTGTTAAATATCCCCCACATGTTATTCCTTTGGGGATCCTGCCTTCATATTCTAACCTTCTACATTTTGCATGCTTCCTTACATAAACATTTCTCTAACTTTCTTTTAGGGCGAAATGGGCTGGCTTGCCTGGCATGTGGACCTCAACTTGAAGTAGTAAACACAGTCACCGGAGAGCGACTATCTGCGTATCGTTTCAGTGGAGTGAATGAACAGCCACCCACTATCCTCGCAGTGAAAGAGTTTTCCTGGCAGAAAAGAACTGGTCTGCTAATTGGCTTGGAAGAAACAGAAGGAAGTGTTCTGTGTTTGTATGACCTTGGAATATCAAGAGTGGTTAAAGCAGTTGTTCTTCCTGGAAGGGTACATGTCTCTTAAATCTAAAAACGAGGCTTCTGTCTTTTTGCATGCTGGTGTTGTCATCTCAGGGCAATTTCTCCTTCTGTGTTTTCTTCATGTTTTCTTCAGTTTAAATAAATCTAACATTTTAGTACTATGTTCCAGATAAACTAGCTTCCTCCTCGAGAAGTGGTGGTTCTCTTAAACACTAATGGGTTTACTATTTGGGTTACTTGGAATTGGAGGAAGGTATACAAATGCAAATCTGAATGATCCACCTACTAGTAACAGGTTTAAGATGGAAACTATTGTATCTTTTAGGATTTAGTATAAACTAATTATAATTCTTTGCTAGTAAGGATGAGACAACTCAGGATCCATGGTTGGTGATGTCAGGTGTGCATGCATAGCAAAACTTGAGGAGGAGGAGGAGGGCACTAAAAGACTAAGGGGCTTTTCAGTGGCAGCCCCAAATTATGGAACAGTCAACCCATGGAAGTTCTCCTGGTTCCCACACGCTCAGCCTTTAGGAGAAAGCTGAAGAGAGTTTTATTCAGGATGACATACGATTAATTCTTCTGCCTACTGGCAGCTTTAAATTATTGATTTTCAGTTAGTGGTTTTATGTATTTTAGTGTGTTTTATTGCCATTTATATTGTAAGCTGCCTTGAAAGCCAAAAGGGGAGTTACATGGAGTTACATGGAGACCACTGCAAATATTGTATAGATGAACCAGGGTTCTGTGGCATGCTGGAGTTTCCTGATGCGTGTTCTCATCTTTAAAATCACACTTTTGTCTCCTGTAATGTGCAAAGTGACCTTTTGGCTATTTGGGCGTGACCTGAATTTGTGCTCCAGTCAGTCTGAGGGTGGCTGGAGTCTCCCTTTATCCTCCACTGTATGCTTGCTGACTTTTCCTTTTGCAGCCAAGAGCATTGTTGGCATAGTATGTTCCTACAGCTTTATTCTCAGTCTGGCGTTCTAAATGAGATTACTGTTTATTGCTTTTAGGGTTATTTGTACAAGTAATGTGCATCTTGTGAATATTTTACCGATCACATTTATTCTTTTCTTCATCATTCTATTACTTTTACATTTGTTTACTTGCTTCAGATTCTTAATTGCACTGGAATTTCTTGATGTTTTGTGGTCAAAAAAGACAAAAAAGATAAACTGGAATGCTAAAATATATTACTGGTTGTGTTCAACCTGATCATTAGGGTTGCCCGGGCGAGGGGGGGGTTGCCCACTTTAGGGGGCCCCAGTCCGCCTGCCCTGATCCGGCTGGATAGAAGTATATGAATTGTACATGTACATAGAAGTACATAAATTGTTGTATGGTAACTGATGAAGATAGTGGCCATGGTGGCTCAGAGGTTAAGACGCTTAGCTGCAGACCGGAAGGTCTGTGGTTCAGGCGTTTGAGACCCTAGTGCCGCGTGATGGAGTGAGCTCCTGTCTCTGGCCCCAGCTCCTGCCAACCTAGCAGTTTGAAAGCATGAAATTGCAAGTAGATAAATAGATACCTATTTGGCAGGAAGGTAACAGTGTTCTGTGCGTCTTGGTGTTTAGTCATGCCGGCCACATGACCATGAAAACGTCTTCAGACAGCACTGGTTTGGAAACGGAGATGACCACTGCCCCCTAGAGTCGGATTCAACTAGCTTTCAAGCAAGGGAAACCTTTAACTGATGAAGATGGTTTCCCCAATTTTTTTATTTGCAGAAAAAGCAGTCTTTTGTAATAGTCATACATTCAGCTTTAAGAGATTTAATCTTGTGTTTAAGTACACATTTCAGAAAAAAACCTATAGCTGAAATTTTAATTGGAGTTCACTTTATTAGCTCACTTGTACCAGGCGAAATATATTAAACAAAGAAGAAGTAAGTGTGAAAAGATTTTAAAATATGAAAGGATGAATTCTGGGTTGGCTCCTACAAACCACAACCACAAGGGTGCTCACGAATGTGGATATTTCCCACTTCTTCCTTGAACCAGCAGACTTTTGAAAAGCTGACTTCTCATGAACAACATGTGGTAGGACATGGTGTGATGCTGTGAGAAAGGTAATTGAGTTACATTCTGCACTCTTCTGCCAGTGGAGTTTCTGTTGATAAACAGGCTCTGCCAAAAGGATGTGAGAGCAATGTAGCCACAAATGATTTACCATCATCACCACCAGTGTTCCCTCTAAGCAGAGTTGGTGTGAGCTAGCTCACAGTTTTTTTAGCCTCTGGCTCAGTTTTTTTGTCTTAGCTCAGGAAGGATGGCTTCAGAGCAAACTAATTTATCCAGTAGCTAAATCACTTGCTCACAACTTTAAGGCCAGTAGCTCACAAAGTAGAATTTTTTGCTCACAAGACTCCAGAGCTTATATTGATCACCACCATTCACAGCAGCCCCCTGTGACATTGTGTCTGTTGGGCTCCTGTGTCTTGGAGCATCAGCTTTTTGGAATTCTTGGGAAGCTCCTGAGGAAAAGAGAAAATTGGTTAGATTTGTAAGTACCTTCCACTGGTGGTTCACAGGGTTCAATCCTCTGCCTTTGACCTTGTGTATTTCTGTGAGGAAATTCAATTGTGCTCACGATGATTGACATTGAGTCTGAATGGATTCCCCCCCCCCCTGTAATTATTAATATCTAGTCCATAGTTTTCAGCATATAGCTTTATCGAAATGGTTTGACAGAGTAACAAGAAAAATAACTTCCAGCTTAATAAACTTGGACAAAGGGAGGAGTTCGGGGCTTATACCTTAAAAGAGTAAAAAATACTCTTAGTGATTTTGGTAAAATATATTGCCAAATGCTATTCTAAGGAAAGAAGGCAAAAAAACATGTAAAAGGGTTAGGGGATGCCTGAATTATTGCATTTTCCTTCTGACTGCTGTCAAGACTTGTGTTAGCAAGGTTATTTGGAATCCACTTTTAATAGACATGTTCATTTGCTTGTTACATTTTCTCCCCAGTTGGGTTAAGTTTTCTTCACCATTTTAGGTCATCTAAATGAAATCATCCTGAATATGCAAGATTTTGTCAGTATAATTGGGAAGGAAAACAATAAGCAAATGAAATGGGGATGTGAAAAGGAACTGTTTGTGTCTGAAAGTGAAAATTAGATGAGAAATTATTTCATTAGAGAACATTTCTAGGTCTGGGTGAGAAACTGCATTGACTTTCTCTGAATTCTCTTTTCAGTGTACATTATTTGGGCAAATTTATGTCACCAGTTCAGTTGAAAAGATTATGACTTTCAGAACTTTGAATACGTTATATTGTTATTGGTGATACTCTAGCAATCCAGTGTAGTAGTTCTTGATGTGCACAAATTAGAGAAATGTGTCCCAGAGTAAGATATGTTTTAGAATAGCTCTATTTTTCATCAAAAGATATAATTGATGGACCATTTTAGCTTTAGCTTAGAACAAGAATTCTACTTTCAAGTTTATCCTTCTTCCAAGTTGTCACTTTGTAAAATGCCTACTTTAATAGTGTTTTTGGAGATAGTATTAGTCATAAAAAAGTACTTCATGCTAACTCAAGTTCTGGGTTTTTAGATTACGTTGAGATCAACCTTTACCATGTGTGGTTGTATAATGTTTTACACTGAATCCTATCAGCTCATATATTCCATTTCCCTTTGGAAGCCATGTGAAATTAGGTTGTCTAGCATTAGAGATGTATTCTCATTTTCACAATTAATGGAGATCCCATTTTATAATAAACAGATCTCCTGGTATAGCTTCTTCATGCATTAAGCAAGGTGGAAAAGGAAGTACACAAACCAAAGGTCTGCTCCCAATTGAGATTAAATCCTAAGAGCCAAGTAACATATGAAACTCCATTTGAATTTCTAAATAATGTAGGTAAAACAGTGACTGGTGCATTGAAGTATAACGTATTCCTGTTAGGAAGGATTATGTTTGGTTTTCTCTCCCCCGTTTTTTGTTGTTGTTTTTTACCAACTCAGTGGTGTGTTCTGTGAAGCAGAGTCTGGACTCTTCACTGCTCCCGTGACAAAACACTTTTTGCTTCGTGTGTGTGTTTTTAAGGGCTGAGATTTGCAAATGTAAGCAGAATCCAGGTAGTGGTGGTATATGCTGAAAGAGAATATCTCATGGAGCTATTTCACTCGGGAATATGTCCAGTCAAAGATGGCTTCTACACAACACAGTAGTTTAACAGACTTAGCTGGTGATCAGAAATTTTAAAAACGTTTAACTCAAGTTTGTGTGTTTACACTATTGTAGTTGATATACAGGCTGGAATGGCTTGTATTAAATCTCATTAGCTTCAGAATGATCTTAAATAGCTCTAGAAATGTCTTTGCTATTGAAGTAAGCTGCTATTCTTGTCTGGTTAACTGAAATTGTATTTTCTAAATGTTACACAGTCATATTGCAGAATTGCTGCACCCCTGTTTGTCATTTTACGTGTACTTGGGGAAAATGACAAGTTGATTTAAAACACACACAGAGAACTTTTAGCATGATCTAGCATGATCTAATTGTTTGTTGAGATGGTGTTTAGCTAGCCGGAAAAAAATAAGGAATGCATTTTGCTTGTTTCCTAGTACTTGTGTCTGCTTCTGTTTTGTCTGCTTAGGAAGTGGGCAGAACAGTTATTGGGTTATGCCCAGATACTAGACAAACCTGCTTACTGTATTTTAAAAAAATAAATAAAAATAAAAAGGGCCATTTTTCTGCAGCTTCTCATGGTATATTGGGACCTTTAGCCCACTCCTAAACTTCCCAGGACTGCAGTGTTGGAGTACAATGATACAACAAACAGACTGGAATACTTATATAATGATCTTACAGTTCAACAAACAGCTTAAATAACACTTTGTTTTCTCATAGGTTACTGCAATAGAACCTATAATTAACCATGGAGGAGCAAGTTTGACAACCCAACACTTACACCAGAGTCTCAGGTGGTTGTTTGGTGTGGCAGCTGTGGTTACAGATGTTGGACATGTCCTTCTGATTGATCTTTGTCTAGATGACTTGTCATGTAGCCAGAATGAAATAGAGGCATCTGGTAAATCAAATTCACTTTTCTCTGTATTATTGCTTGCTTCTTGAAAAGCAAAGTAGTTGAATTTCATAGAGCACTTCTAATATTCTAGCTACTGCTAGAGGGGATGTGGCTAGGCAGTTTGTCTGTGCTCCTAAAACTAGGCTTGTCTACAGTTGGATTCATATTGTACAGGTTGGTAGGGGGGATTATTGGTAGTGAAAACATTACATTGATCTGCACCACAGCAGTTGATATTTTAACCATTCCAACATATTGGTTGCTTCTCACATGCATTTCTTCTAAAATATTTCACACTAATAATAATTATACTGCTTGCATAGCACTTAGATTGTTCAAAGCACTTCATGTTTGTAATCATACAACATCCTTGTAGGGTATGCTGGTATTGCAGATGTGGGGACTAAGTTTGGAAATATTGCTTAGCCATACTATGTGGCATTAGATAAAATGAGATTTGTATCTGTAACCTCACATCGCGCAGCCAGTTCTCATGCACCAGCTATGTCATCTAAAGAATCCTCTGAAATACCTAATAATGTATGCTTTGTTTGTTGAACTGTATCTTTTAAAATAAGATACTTTTGTAGCATGGCTTAATGTGAATTTATATTGCAATACACCGTGTGTGCAGACCTAGAAGTTATCACCGGAATCCCTCCTGAAATACCACAAATAAGGGAGACCATCACAAGGAAAGGTCGGCATCTCTGTTTCCAACTACTGAACCCATCTGGAACTGCTGTGAAAACCCTCTCATACATACACAGAATCAACCAATTGGTTGTAGGGTGTTCTGATGGTTACCTCTCACTGTGGAACATGAAAACCTTGAAGAAAGAGTAAGTGTGTTTATATGAGAAATCATGGGTTTCATTTAATTTTAAATGAGGCATCTCCAGGGGTCATTTGGGGGGGGGACGCGGGGGGACGCCATCCCCCCGGGTGAGGTGCGGGAGGGCGGGGCCTGGAGCTCCCTGCTGGTGCCCGCTGGAGGTCGCCGCCGGCTGTGGAGAGGACACACTTCCGGTGATGTCAGGGAGTGTGGCATATGCTAATGAGTCCCCCTAGCGCTTTTTCTACGAAATGACCCCTGGGCATCTCTAATTATGCATTAATTGTAGATGTTCTTGAATTCATCATTGTAGTCAGGTCTTGGCTTACATAAGGCTTCTATAAATTGTACAAGTGACTTGTATGAAATACACTGTTCTACTTAAAGGCCATTTTAAGATGACAAAATTTAAATAATTGGGATTGGATATGATGTCCTGTGAGTGGTGGTCCACGCACAGAATGGAACTTTCCCACCTTTTCACTCTCACTGCAGTGCACTGCACCACTCTGAAAGAGCACTGGGTGGAATGTGGGGGGGGCCTGCAGTGATAGAGGGCATTAACAAAATGGACCCCTTTCCACCATTGGAGAATAAGTTTTGGATCCAACTCATTGACTTTCAGCTGTTATGTCCCATGACATTCTGTGAAATACTCTGGAAAATGTGGATAAACAAACATACATGAAGCTAACTTCTCTGTCACACCATTGGTAGGGCTGTGAAACAGCCGAGTATTAACAAATAAATTAGAAGGTGATTAATGGGATTGACATACAACTTTATGCTCATTTACAAAGCAGGAAATATTGATTGCTGGAATTTCTTTAAATGAAAGCTTTTCTATGCCCTTGGGGCTTCAGGTTGAGAGATTCATCTGCTTAGCTAATATGTACATGGTTCTAGTAAGGTTTCCATGTGTTTGTTGCTACCTCTAAAACTGGGTATTTAACAGTAGACAGAGGTGCTGGGTGACAGTTGCTAATTTTGCATACCTATATTGGCCTTTTAGTGTAAATTAGAGTCTTAAAATAGTGACGGAGCTTCAGGATCTTGATTCTGCAAGACATTAGGGGTGATGTAATAATGAGGATTTCATTATCACTAACCGCGAAATACTTGATTTTCTCTGCTAGTATCAAATTAGATTCTACAATTATTAACTTCATTTATAGTCTGCCTTTCTCTCCAGTGGGCCCCTGAAATGGCTGCATTGTTCTCCATTTTATTCTCAGAATATTTGGAGTATGGAGCAAAAGCATGTTAGGTGGATTTGTGTGCAATACAGAAGTGTTTCAAATGTAGCATCAACGTACAGTCTCCTGTGCACTGAAGAAACAGACCTATAGATCTTCCCCTTTTTCTCTCTTCTTGTATCTAGGTACCACTCCCAGTTAGAAGGAGGTAGGATTCCAGTCTATGCTGTTACTTTTCAGGAACCTGAAAACGATCCCCGCAACTGTTGTTACTTGTGGGCTATTCAGTCAACACAAGAAAGGTGAGTGAAAACTGACAGCCTTAACAACAGTAACCATCTCTTCTAGGTGCTGTACTTATTCATTTAGCTTTGCCGGTTTAACCTGAAGTTGATCCATTAGCCTTGGTACTCCTGCATTTGTTTTATTGGGCTGAGCAAGGATATTTTAACTAACTGTGCCAGCAAAGGTTCTTGAAGTTGTTTTCAGTAAACAGTAAAATAAAAAAAAGTGACATAAGATAAAAACTCAAAGCCCTAAGCCATGAAGGTAGAATATTCTTAAGTATAAAAGTAGTCGAATAGCAATTAGAAAGTGAAATCAGTAAGCCACAGCATCTGTCAAGAATGTAAATAAATAATCAGTAGAAACTCAAAGAAGATGTGATGGGTGAGAAGATGCAGGAAAAGCATTCCTCAGGCAAGGCAGCTGCCCAGTGAAAGTCACACACCTTAGATTAAGATTGTAACAGTTGGGCAGGTTCACATGGTAGCAGGAGATCCTTCAGAAATGCAGTCTCAGACCATTTAGGGATTCAAAGCTAAGAGTTGTACCCTCTGAAAATGCTGAAAATTGTTCCTGAAAATAGTTAACAGCCAGCAATGTACTTTGAACCATTAGAAGCTTCTGGGCAGTCTTCAAAGACATCCTCCATGTAGAATGCATTATGACACCTTTGTGATCCAAACATGGATCTTTTGCGTCTGTGAAAGAGAACACAGAAACCACTAGCGCCCCCCCCCCAATCTTTAAGCAGTCTACAAGAAAGAGGTGCACTTGACTAACCAGTGAAAGGTAGGAATATAAGAATATGCCTTCTTTGTTTTTTTCATGTGTGAGCCTTCTGATTGCGCCTGTTTTCATAGCTGGTTTTTCCAATTTGTTTCTTTTATGTCACTGAATAAAAAACATCTGTTTTAATGCTGGTAATTCAATTGCATGGAAGCTGCGGTGGCTCAAGTGGTTAAGACGCTGAACTGCAGGCTGTGGAAGGTCAGTAGTTCAGCAGTTCAAGACCCGAGTTGCCGCATGACTGAGTGAGCTCCCATCTCTAGTTCCAGCTCCTGCCAACCTAGCAGTTCGAAAGCAAGAAATTGCAAGTAGATAAATAGGTACCACTTCAGTGGGAAGGTAACAGCGTTCTGTGCGCCTTGGTGTTTAGTCATGCCGGCCACATGACCACGGAAACGTCTTCGGACAGCGCTGGCTCTTCGGCTTTGAAACGGAGATGAGCACCGCAACCCTAGAGTCAGACTCGACTGGCTTTCGAGCAAGGGAACCTTTACCTTTACCTTTAGTATGATTAAGAGAAAAAGTAGCTGGACTTCTGTCTTGAGTGGGGTGAACTAAGATTTTCAAGTCGAAATGACATGTTCACAAAATTTGGTAACATCCCTAGTTGAAAGCTGCCAAATGTCACAAAAGAAACTTGAACAACCACCTACAGAAATGGATCTAATAAAACCTTGAAGGTGTAGTCTTGTTGCCAGAATGCAAGACTGTGATCAGGTTGCGTTTAACACTTTTACCAAACTCTGAACTTCTACAGTTTTTTCTTCCTATCAAAACTATGGACTACTCTGAATTAGGTTCCAGAATCAGGGTTTGCAAAGCTCGTTGTGCAAGTTATTTGATTGTTTTCTGCCTACAAGTGACTGCAGTTACTTTCAGTCCTACGTCTGTCTGTATTTACCTGTGACCATACTGTGCTCTTTTTAATAATCTGAGTTGGTGCTATTTTAATACTGTGTTGTTTTAATCATCTCCTGTGCTATGTTTTTGCTTTACTGCCAATGTTAATTTTAGCTCTTGATATTTTATTGCTTTGCTATTGTTTTTAACTGATCTCCATGTGCTGCTTCAGGAGCATTCCAGCTGGGAGTACAGCCCATAAGTTTGAATATTGCAGCCTACCCTTCCTTTTTAAAGCAGTTTTGAGGCACTCAGTAGCCAAGCGATAGAAATTATAGGGTTGTAGTAAGCCTTATTCTGGAGCTCTGTGCAGACAGCTCACTTGTGTGTGGGACAATATACAGTTCTTTTGGCAATATGAGCCAACCCATGCAGTTAAAAAAAATCATTATGCAGATCAAAATCTTCAATTAAAATGCCTAGGAGGATTGATCCAAGCAACAGACTTCTGTGTAAACATTGGAGCTTCTGCAACCAAGGTAGCTGGATAAGGATAACAGATTGGGGCAGGGGATGATGGCTGGTTTACATGAACAAAGTTTGAGTCCAGTGACACCTTTAAGACCAACAAAAGTTTTTTTAAGGTGTGAGCTTTTGTGTACATGCACACTTCCTCAGTGAAATGAATGTTGTCCATACACACACACACACACATATGTATGTATGTGTAGGGTGAACAACAAATTAGTATACATCATAATGAATATGTTTACATGGTTCATGTTCTTAAAGTTACAATGATGGCTGCTTTCATGCTATAGTTTTAGGTGCTTTTGTTAGTCAGCTTCTTTACTGAAACTTGTGATCTGTTTTATTTTAGTGAAGGGGATGTTGTCAGCTTACATTTGCTGCAGTTGGCTTTCAGTGACAGAAGACGTTTGGCATCTGGGCAAATCATGTATGAGGTAAAGTATTCATATGATGAAACAAAGTACTATTTTATTGGACATGGTAGTGAAATAAAAGCTCCAACTGTACTGCAGTGCAATCTAATCCATATTCCTGCTACTCTGAAACAATTGGAATAAGGCAATTTGGAGTGTAGGAAGATCACTTTTATTAGATCCACTGGAATATCTCTGTATTCATTTCATATGCCGTTTAACTGCTTTGTTTATTTTATGCGTTGCTTTTATTGAATTTGTTTGGTAAAACTTTTAATAGTTGTTGTTACTTACAGTTTGCACTTCTCCCACTGAGGTGGAGGACATCTCCATGGGTTATTTCCATCGTTCCTTTAGGGAGGCAGGAAATACCTGTGTTGTCATGAGGAGGCTGCAGGAAATGCAGCTCATTGTTATGTGTTCAAGCCATGTTTGATTGACCTGATACCATGGGGAATCTTGACACAACCACTGTGCTCTTTTGATATTCTTGGTAAGGAGACTGCGCAATTGAGGTTGGAGTTCTCTGAAGAGCAAACATACAGAAGCAGTTCCAGTGACATCTTCACGGTGGTTGTAATATCTGAGATGGAATGTGTAAACAGGAGTGATCAGCTAGTCTTTGATTCTGCCTTCCAGGCTGAATTCTTCAGATGCTTTCTACTTTACAGCATGCTGAAGCCTCTTCGTAGTATTTCCCCATCTTCTGCAACTTCATGTTGCTTGCTTTAATTTAAACAAAGCACACTGTCAAATCTAGAAGTATACAGTTCTTTTATAGGTCATTTGCATAACAAAGTGAGTAGGGTTTGCCATGACTGTTACAACCTCACAGCAGAGTGTCTCCTGTTGCTTATTCTATGTATCGTGTCTTGGGCTGAGTAGATTTAGCAATAATTGATTGCTGTTAGCCTTCCCTATACAAACAGTAACAAGAATCAAATGACATGGTGGCAAAGCTCCTCTCCAAATTTGGAAGGAATGCTGAGAATATATGTAGTGTAAAGCCAGAAACAACATTTATTGAGGGGAATAATGCAAAAACTCAAGCAACTAGAATACTGTCAAGCATACAGAAATAATAATAGTAGAATGTCCGCATTACCAACGTATACGCTAAATACACACATTGTGCAGGATATTCCCTAGAAGGAAGCCAGTGTTGTATAGTGCTTATATAGTGTTAGAGTAGGATTGGGAAGTCTCATGGTCTGATCTCCAATCTGACTTCAAAGACTGCGCATTGACTTTGGGCCAGTCATGTATAGTTAGCCTAATCTGCTTAATGGGATTGCTGTGAGGATAAAATGGAGGTGAGGAGAACAATGTAAACTGTGTTGGGTCCCCATTGAGGAGAAGACATATTACCAATTAAGTAAAATAAAATTCTAGAGACCAGAGCAGTAGGGTAAAGAAGAGCTAGATCTGCCTATCCCCACTACTTTGGCAAAGGTCCAGTGCCCAAAAAGGGCTCTGGGCAATAAAGTGAAAGTCATCCCAAGGGGCAGAGGAACAGAGATGTGATATGGATACCCTGCTGCTCACAAGACTGGTAGTCTTGGCAAATACAAGCAAATGTTGCAGATCAATTCTGGCTTTAATTACAGGGCTAGAGGATGGGCTTTTCTTTCCTGATTTGGATCTGGTGGGGGAACGGGAGGGGCAGGTAGAGGTGCTGGGAGATTGGCCAAAGGAGAAATGGAAAGAGGTCCTGGGAATGTTTCCTCATAACAAATGGAGGGCAGTTATCCAGACAGGGAGGAGGAGGTGTGCTTGAAGGCAGTCTGAGTTATCTAATTTTCATCTGGAAATTCAGACAGCCTTAATTATATTATTGTGGCTGTCTCCCTGTGTGAGGAAAATGATGTGTGCACAGCACTTTCTGAGGCAGAGTGCTAATATGACAGCATTCTTTTGCGATTAAGTGTCCTGATTAGTTGCTGAGAGGCCTTAGTTATGGTCTCATAGCTAGGTACTCAGCATTTTTCTGGAGCTGCTGTTGTCCTTAGTAAGTATGATGAGATCCAGCACAGAAAAAACCGAAAGCTTCATGGTAACTAAGTATACTACTTGTGCTCTTGATGTAAACACTGATTAGTTTTGTGACACTTAAAGTTTGACAGATTTATTAAGACATAAGCTGTTATGGAACAGAGAGCCTACTCTGTCAAAGACGTTTAATGAATTTCTGTGACATCCTTTTTTTGAAATGTAAAACTATTTACCAAGATGACACTGTACCTGTGTTTTTGTGTAGATTGAGAAGTTCCTCAGCCTTTGCTTATATAATTTCCCTTACAAATCTTTTCCTAAGATCATATTGACCCTTGCTGTTATGTATCATAATTAGGATAGTATGTCCTATTCATAAAAGCGATGAACCTTAAAATTCTGCTTGTCCGTATTCTGCATATTGATTTCATGTAATCACTTCTTTCAGGGTTTGGAATATTGTGAAGAAAGGTACAGCCTAGACCTTACGGGGGGTGTTTTCTCTTTGAGAGGACAGACAAGCAACACCAAATTAATTGGCTGTCAGACTATAGAAAAGTTTCGAAGCCATGTTGACAGAGAAGATGGCATTAATGAAGGTTGGTACAGACTGTGTTTCAAAAATGTAGCCATGGCATTATAGAGAAATGAGTGTTCCCTGCTGATCCTCCAAATTCTAGACTGAAGATAATGCAATTCTTCATAAGTTTTGGCCAACTCCAGTATATCCAATTTTGCCTCAAAATCTAAATGAGCATGGCATCACCTATGTTTGGTGATGCTGGTTTGATACTGATTTCTTTATATGAATACAGTTTTTGTTCCAGTGGCTAAATTAAAGCTGTAATTAAATTGTGATTAGGCACAGACAGTTCCTTCTGTTGCCTCATGCTGTTGCTTCAGTTGAAAACTTCCCAGTCTGATAAAACATCAGTTGGCTGTCCCATCACGATGCAGGCATCTTGGGAAATTGTAGCTTTTTTACTCCTTACAAACTGGAAGCCTAAGGTGAAATTTAACCAGAGTTAGGGATCCTAGTGTGTAAGGGGGAAACACCAATTTCTTGAGACATATCCAGATGTTAAGGCAAATGGGATCATGATCAAAATGTGTAGTTTTCAGTCAAGCTCCATGCACAAGATGGGGAGGGAATAGAAGCACAGGAGCGTGACAGCAATCTCATTGCATGTTATAATTTCAGAAATCTTCATGATTTTTTTGTTAACATGTTTTTCTGCATTAAAATAGGTGCAAGGTACATTCTGCAAAATTGTATTGTATCTATGTAATCCATAGCTGGCAACCTTTTTTACAGCCATGTCATCTTTTTTCCAGTCATATCACCTGACACAAGTGTCTCAGTCTTCAGCTGGCAGGTGAACACATATGGTCAAGGCAAACCATCTACCTATTTAGGTATATTTGACGTAAATCGGTGGTACCATGCTCAGATGCCAGACTCATTAAGGTAAGAAGTGGCAGTTTCTCCTAACATATCACACATCTGTTCTGGAATTTTATAACTTGCATAACTCCTTAACTATTGTCTGTTTCCTTAAGACCAGGGGAATTTCTGCATAATTGTCCCTATTTTGCATTATGGTCTCTGGATGCTGTAGTGAGCATGACCAATCCACATCGTATCTTGGATGTCCTGGTAAATGAACGAAGCTTAAGTCGTGGTGTACCTCCATCATATCCTCCACCTGAACAGTTTTTTAACCCAAGCACCTATAACTTTGGTAGGTTTTTTGTAAGAACTGCTTCTATTAGAAACATGTTGAAAATGAGTACTAAGAGATTAAATGTGTATCATTTTAGCAGTTATCGTTGCTGCTGTTCCACAGGTATTCCAGATCATTGCTTGCCTAATGTTAAAAGAAACAATCCGTATTTGGTTGATGCAGGGATTTCAGACATCTTCCTACTTGATATTGTGTCAGTAGCAAGGAAACCTTTTTCGAGCACTCTCAGATATGATTGTGTTAGCATCCAAGGTAGCACAAGTAACATCTCTAATGACAAGAAGGCTCCCTGTAGATATGTGGCATGTTGTGGGTGAATATCCCAAACCCCATGGGGTTCTTTTCAGTGGATGGATGGAGACAGGCTAGGGAACTCAGCCCTCCAGAGGAAAAGGACCAGGGAGAACTATAGCTTAAAACTCAAACTGTTTATTAACTCCTTAAAACCATATACAAGTAATAATAGCATATAAAAGTCTCAATACCGGATACAGTGTACACTTTTTAGAAAGCACAAGGAATGTTCCTGGACTGCAGGACCAAGACCCTTACACACACTGGTGGGGTGTTGGCCGAACAGCCCAGAACAAAGTCCAAAGCCACATTTTTATATTCTTTCCAGTCTGTAGGAACCAATGGAGGCGTTAATCCAGAATGCACTAGGCCAGCCCACCATGAGGTGATAACATGAACTTTTGCTAGGATGAACTTTTGCCTAGATATATTTTACTAACTGATGTCAGCAGGACCCAGGGAACTATGGCATCTCCATAGCAATATGTTTAGGCTTTAGCGCCTGGCGCTTGGAGAACGGGGAATGTCAGATACGAATTCAAGCAAGAGTGCATTTACAGGGTAAAGCCTTAGGTTTTACAGCTAGGCTGGCAGCAAAAAAGCAAAGGCTCATGGGACTTCAGAAACAAGAAGCCAGAGTCAGTTACAGCAAACCCTGCATAGCATAGAAGAAGAGAAAGCCCCAGGCTCATGTAACCCCAAGTTCTGCAACAGTTGAAATAGTTTTGAAAAAATTATTTTATGCATTTATATCCTTCCTTTCTCCCCAATGGATACCAAACAGATGTATATTCCTATCCTCCATTTTATCCTCATTACCACCATGTGAGGTAGGTTGGGCTGGGAAAGTGTGACTTCCCCAGTGAGCTTCCATTACACATGTGGGGAATCAATCCCTGGTCTCCCAGGGATGTAAGAAGTTTGACACAAGTGCAGTTGGTTCTCTGACTTCTGTAGAGACCCTCTCTGTCTCCTTGTGCACTGCAACATAGTGGGCTCCTCTTTATTACTTTATATGATTCCAATCACTTTTGCATCACCTGCGTTTTCTAGAGAAATGTTTGAATATTGTTTGAAGAAAAGCTAATAAGGATCTTTAATTTTTGAGCATTATCAGTATCTCATTTTGCTAGCAATGAGAATGAAATTCTTTCTTTTTAGATGCTACTTGTTTGCTGGACTGTGGAGTTGTTCATGTAACTTGCACAGGATTCCAAAAGGATGTAAGTTTATTTTTGAAGTTCTGCATCTCTTTGGACGTTCTAATTATATATGCTCTTTCCCATACAAATGTTATATAGATCAAATCATTACCATGGGAATTTTATCTGTAAGGTGTCTGAGAGGTCACCAACCCATCGTTACAAGAAATGAGAAGGAAAAACTCATGTTGTATTCATTTCTGCACCATATGTGTGTTTGAACTGGTTTTATAATTCGGTACATTCTAATGCTTGCAAAATGGAGTATGCTGCAGTTGTCATTCCTGATTATAGGCACTTGCAAATCAAGTCAGGTTAAATATTCCAGAGTGCTGAAGATGTGTATTGACTGGACTACAGAGAATATAAGAATAGTGCTTGATAAGTAGTTATTTCCTTATTTTTGTGTTTGAATAGTTGGAACTACTACCTGTTCATGCTTCCGCATATTTAAAGAGAAAACCTTATCATTTTCACTATCAGCCTAATTTTGCTTAAATCATCATTTAATCCGGATTTGAAAGGAAGAGAACAAACCACAATCTATAGCTTGCTGCAAAAACAGAAGTTGGGGTTTTTTTAAAATTCAGATCTATGCATAGGGAGGAGAGGGGGAGGAATGTTGGAAGCTGTTGGTTTTCCTTAAGCTATTCATCCCTTCTAAAGGAAATACCAGAAAGAAATTCACTTTACGGCTGGGAATTGTTGAATGCTTCAATAATCCAGAACCTATTGCTGAAATAGGAGTAATGAATCTAAAACATATTGGCTTGGACCCTGAAAGACACTTGTATGTGAGATCTTCCTCACAGTTTTCCCCCTGCAGCAGTCTGTCTTGCCCAGGAAAAAGCTGCTGTTGGGAGGGCTCATATAGACAGAAGCAACGCATCAGGGGTGGCTTCATGGAGGAGGTAGGCAAAATTACCCCCCTCTGAGACAGCCAACAAAATCTCTTTTGCAGACAGAAGGACCTATAGAAAGCTAGGAGGAGCCACTCCTGCTTGATTCTGCCTCTTCTCTGCAGCCCCCAACTGACTAGTCTTTTTGTCTGTGCAGGCCAAATAGAGCTGTTTTTGCAGTGGAAACTCTGGGAAAGATCTGTTTGTGCATGTACCTAGTTTTATACAATGTAATTCACTGGCATTGTGAAACTGTCATAATGTTTCATTTCAGGAAAAAGTTATAGCTAAAAAGGTTTTTTCTGGCTTTTGTTAAGGGTTGTTATAGGATGCTTTTTGATTACTTCTAATTTTGCACTTTTGTGCAATTATTATAGTGACAATTCCTAATTGCTTTTGTGTTCACAATTAATTGCTGCTTTTTGTGGTTTAATTTCAGACTTTGCATTTCTTAAAACAATCTGGTGGTTCTTTAAATGAAGCTATTCCTGACAGTTATAATAGATGTCTTATAGCTGGCTTGCTTTCACCAAGGTTTGTTGATGTACAGCCTTCAAGTCTGAGTCAGGTGAGTTCATGACAAATGCATGAAAGACAGTGCAGACTTTTACTCTGTATGCACATGCATGTACGTGCATGGACTAGTGAGACTAATAATATTTTGACTTCTGGCACAGTTGTGGGAGTAAAATGATCCCAGTAGCTTTGGTAGATGGCTTTTATCCATAAAGTGATATGCAGTGTTCCCTCTAAGCTGAGTTAGTGTGAGCTAGCTCACAGTTTTTTAGCCCCCGGCTCACACATTTTTGCTTTAGCTCAGGAAGGATGGCTCCAGAGCCAACTAATTTATGCAGTAGCCAAATCACTCGCTCACAACTTTAATGCCAGCAGCTCACAAAGTAGAATTTTTGCTCACAAGACTCCACAGCTTAGAGGGAACATTGGTGATATGTGAACCTGCTGATTCTTTACTCACTTCATGCTTTGGTATCCTTGTGGACTGTATTGCTGCAGTGGGAGCTGAAGGAAATAGAATCCATTAGTCTCTTGTTCTGCTCCATGGCACCTCTGCCTTGGAGTTCTGTAGCAGTCTTTTCTGTCTTTCCCAGTTAACATTTACATGCGGCTGTTGATGAAGGTATCATTGGTATGCTGGCCACACTGTTTTTCTTGCGCTTGTGGGTTAAAAGGTGGGATTTAAAATGAACTTTTATTTGTTTTAGGAAGAACAGTTGGAAGCTGTGTTATCAGCAGCTGTCCAAACTAGCTCTTTAGGGCTACTCACAGGCTGCATCAAGCAGTGGACCTCTGAAGGTAAGTATAGCTTTACTCCCCCCCCCCTCCCAAATTGCTGTTTTCAGTCTAGAGATAACCGATTCTCATAACTTCTATTCCTGGTTTTCTTTGAAGAGCAACCAGATTCTGCCCCCAACCTGCGCTTTGTTCTTGAATGGACGTGGAATAAAGTGATTAGCACAAAAGAAGAGTTTGTTCGATTATGTAAGTAGTATACTACATATGTTGGAGGTATTAAGGTTGGATTACCATGCATTGTCTGTTTTGAATCACTGGGCTGGGTTATTGCTTCATTTACTCACGTTGAGATGAACACCTTTAAATCACTCTGAATTATTAATAATAATAATAATGTCATAATTTTGTCTTTGTTTTATAAGGTGTCCCACTGTTTGACGGATCATCTAACTTTATTGATCCACAAACACTACAATCTCTGCAGCACTGTGAGTTGCTTCTTAGCAACCTTAACACAGTTTTGAACTGCTTTGTAACAGAGGCACAAGAACTCACAGAAAAAGGTTTGTAAATGAGAGGAAATCTAATTTGCACATCTCATCATATAATTTCCTAACACAAAGGAATAGTATTCTTTCCCCCCCTTCTTTATGTTCTACCAGTGATGTGGGACAGAATGCTTCATATTGAAATTTTTTTCAGTCGTGGGTGGGTGGACATTTTCCCATTTCTAAAATTAACATGATATATTTATTTAGTTTTAATTTACTGAATTATGTCAAAAAGTGCTAGATCAGGTCACCATCTTTCAAAGACTTTTTTTCAATTCCAGTTTATTTTGGGGGGAGGGGAAACTACTTTACTGATTTCCAGCTTCTTCCTAGTGGTGGTCTCTTTCTTTTCCCTGTTATTTTTTTAAATGATTGAAGCAGATACCAGCGTTTAATCTTGATGAAAGGCCATGCCTTTAAACATCTGGCTGGGACTGCTGTTCTCTCAAAACCAGTATGGAAGGAAATAAAACTAAATGTTACCCTCTTATCCTTCCCTTCCCTTAAGATGAGCAGAATGGTGCATTTGCAAGTAAATGTTTATTCACATAGGCGGTCTTGTTTGGATTACAACCAACACTTGAAAGATTGCTTTCCGACAATGGGTTTATTCTAAAAAAATCCCCCAACGTATTAATCCTTTTGCAGGTATCACAGATTTAACAAATAAACAGGCTGTAACGAGTCTTCTTTTGCAATATGTGCAAGTTGTCATCTGGTTCTGTCGGTCCAGTCTTCTTCCTGAAGGCTTAGGTAAGCTTTAAGAAACAATGGTCCATTTTTCCTGGGCTGTAATTGGGTAGCACAGCTAAAACACACACAGTTGGGGAAATCATATTGCATTTTGTATTACTTAGTTTCACTTTGCAATTGCTGAGATACTGTACTTTGGACAAATCCTAGAGCAATACTGCAAATAAAATTCATTGTGTGTTAGGGTTATTTTTAGTTGACCACATGGAATGTGTTTGTTATAAAAGCTTCACCATAAATGCCATTTTAGTGTTGAAAACGAAAAGTTGTTCTCAGTAAAAGGTACCACCCCTTGTTGAAGAGGAAGGCTATATAATTTTCATTGTCTAAACTTTAGAACCAAAATAGCCTAAAAATGAACGAGTCTGTCCTTGATGTACAGTTCTATGTTGATATTACTGATATTACTACTGATTAAATGTTGCTGAATTGTAAATTAGAATTATGGCTTTGTATTTTCAAGTGTGAGTTGCTTGGAGAGCTGGATGGCTTGGGAAGGTATTGTTTTTAAAACACTGCACTTTGAGAGTAAGTAGTTGAGTTCGTTTGAAGCTATGAAATCCTAAAGCTCTCAAGACAGTATTTACTTTTATGTTCTGTTTTCAACTGGGATTGGTTTTTATAATTTTTTGTAAAATGAGTGTTCATTTCTTATGTGTAGATGAAGATATGCAGTTATCAAAACCTTTCTACGATTACCAGAACATACAGCGCTTCTATGTCAGCAGTCGTCAGAAATTAGAGCGCTCATCAAGGTAAGTCTGCTGTAAAGAATTTGAAAACCCTTCATGACATAATGTGAAGAGGAGCTATAGTGTGCAACCCCACTCCATTGCATACATTGGATCTGTTGTGTATTCAGTGACTTAAGGTAATGAGCATTAACTATCAGAATACTTATTATCAGCCACCCAACAAAAGCCGGTGTGTTAGTGATTAGAGTTTCAGACTAGGAGATCTAGGAGACCCAAATTCATATCCCTACTCTGCCCTGAAGCTTATTGGGTGACGTTGGGCCAGTCACACACCCTCAGCTTAACCTATGTCACAGGGTTGTGCTGAGAAGATAAAATGGAGGAGAGGAGAATAATGTAAGTTGCTTTGGGTCCCCATTGCAGAGAAAAGCAGTTGAAGTATAAATGCAGTAAATAAGTAATTATAGCTGTAAATGGAGGGGGAGATAAAGAAACAGCGAAGTTTGAGGATGTAGGGGCTGCCAGGAGAAAGGAAAGAAGAAATAACATGGGGAAGGGGGTACAGAGGAAAGAGAAGTGACTTCCATAAGTCTTTGCAGGTGTCCTACCACACAACAAGGCTCAGACTAGCAGCCGACACCACACAACTGGGCCATATTTTTCCTGAGATGATGCTGCTGGGGGAGGGAAGGAGAGGAAAGCTGAAGACATGCGGGTAGACAAATGTAGGTTGGGCTGGTGAGTGGAAAGGAAAGAAGAAAGCATCAAAAGGGGACAGGCTATGGAAGCTTTCAGGGAAGGGAAAGAAGAAATAGTGGTGGAGAGGAAAATGAAGTCAAGCCCTTGTAGATTGTTCCTCCCCCTGTATATATTTAATTATGTATTTTAAGCCTGTTTTAATGTTTTCTGATTGCTTTACATATTTAGGCCTGATGACTTCTAAGCTATAAGCTTCTTTTTATTTTACTTTCTGATAATCAGATCAAAAAATTTTAGTTGCAGATATTTTATGGAGTGAGATACTGAAACATACAATCTAATTGTACAGTCCATTATCTATTAGGCATTTTTGTATATGCGGGTCTAGTGAACCATGAACAATTAAGACATGTGGAAATACAGAATATTGCTTTTTTCTTGTTGTTGTTGTAGAGGTAAATGGAACCCCGACTGCTTGATGATTGATGGAATGGTCTCTCAGTTGGGTGACACTGTTGCGAAGCTGTGGCAAAGAGATGATGGGGGGACAGGGAACTATCCTCCTCCTACATTACATGTAAGTAGATTTTCTGAAGGTTCATCAGGGTTTAATATAGGAAGGCTGCAACACTAAGAATGCTCTCCTGGGAGGGAGTAAGCTTCATTGAATCATATCTGAATAGACGTGTTTAGGATTGCTCTCAAAATATGATTTGTGTGTTCTGTGTTACAGGCACTCCTCGATCTCTACTTGTTGGAAAACATAGAAGATCTCTACAAACACGCAATTGTATCCTTTGAAAGATTTAAGCATGCAGTCTCAGATTCTGCAGTCTACGAATTTTAGCCTTTTTTTCTTTGGCAAAAAACCTCAGATCTGAAGAATTTAGCAAAGCAAAAGAAAAAAGCTGGCATGTAGAATTAAGCTTAATAGCTGAAAGGCCCAAAAGCCAGAAAATGTACCAGAAAGGCAATTCCTGCTTCTGTGGGCAACATGGCGTTCTAAGTAGTGTGCTACAATAAGTAAGGAACAGAACACCCAGTACTATCTGCAGTTGTGTATTGGACATCCATAAACAATATTAAGATTGAGTTATTGTTCAGAAATTTAAATTTTTTCCTTCCCCTCATGTGCACATAAAATATAGATTATTGTTGGACGTCATGGTTTCGCCTTTTATCAGTTTTTTCCATAGTATTTCTCTTTCTTGAAAACGTGGCCTCCAGTTACAAATTACAGGCTTGCACAAGTGAAAGACTATTGGATTTAATCTCACTCTTTTTACAAGTGTCTCTGGTGCAAGGAGTAAAATGGCTTTTCCGTGACTGAAATATCCCTTCGGACATGTAAAAGAGCTCCTTTTTAAAGATTCCTGGAGAAAGAATAAAGTACATGAATACAAACTTATTTTGCACCCCTCTGAAATACCTGAATATGCTTCAAAGCCACTATTTTTCTCTTACTAACAAGTGGCAGAGGTGGCAGTTTGGCATTTTGACGTTTATACACCAGAGTTACCTTACTAATAATTTAAGGATTGGGATGGGTGTAGCAGTAGAAAAGAGCAAGAGTCCAGTAGTACCTTAAAGACTAACAAAATTTGTGTCAAGGTAGGAGCTTTTGTGAGTCACTAAAGAAGTGAGCAGTGACTTATGAAAGCTCATACCCTGCCACAAATTTTGTTAATCCTTTAAGGTGCTACTGGACTCTTGCTCTTTTCTACCAATAAAGAGTAAGCTTGCTGCTAGTAAAATAAATAGAGACTAAGGGGGAAAGCTACCAAAATCAGTCTTTCTAACCTAGAAACTTTTCATTCCATAAGAACTCAGATTTAAAAAGAATTTGTTTTCTTGTGCTGATCAGTTCAATACAGAATTTCAGTTAATATCTGAATGCTGCAGGGAAGACTTTTTGTGATATGGTGTATGTGTAGCTTGTTCAGGCACTTCATCAGAAATTCTTGCTTTCTAAGTAATTAACTTTAATACTACTTACCAGACAATTTATTTACTTTTGGACATTATGCATTCCTGTCCAAACAAAACTGATACTACAATGGACTCTTTCCCAACTGCCTTTGCCATCCCTGTTGGTGTGGTTAACCTAATTCAAGGTTATTGGTGCTTGGATCATGGTGACTGTGAGGTGAGCATAAGTGACATATTTCAGTGCAGCAATTATGCCACATTTTGTCTTCCTCTTATAGCCATATCATCTAATCAGTTTACATTAATAGCAGGAATCATTAGTTCCTGACTGCCTGCTCTGCAATTCTGATGTTAATAGAATCATTGCTTCTCTCCTGCTTATTGGTACATTGACTCTGAAGCATGTATGCTTACTAGTCCATCATGAAACTGTAAGGAATGGGATGTGTGGATAGTATTAGGAGTGTGTGCTCGGTATATACTGAGCTGAATAAATACCTGAAAAATACCTTATTGGTATTTTTCAGGTATTTATTTAGCTGCATCAGATCAGGTAATCTGATTCAGCTACCAAAATAGTAGCACCCAAATAAAAGCGGATATTATTCAGCTTTTATTCAGGCGTAGGACGACTCAACGAGTGAACTCAGAAGGCATTTAAATGCCCCAGTGTTAGATTTAAATGGCTAAAAGCCTTTGCATCAATCCTCCACTTGGAAGCGTGTGGGAGCAAAAGGGATAGATGATTTGGCTTCCAGCCATGGCAGCCTCTCCCTCAACCGGATATGGAACAACTGATTGGTTTAGCATAGGAAAAGGAGTACGACAAGGATGTATATTGTCACCTTGCTTATTTAATATATATGCAGAGTACATCATGCGAAATGCTGGCCTGGATGAATCATAAGCAGGGAAAAGATCAACAGATATGCAGACGATACCACTCTAATGGCAGAAAGTGAAGAGGACCTAAAGACCCTCTTGCTCAGCGTGAAATAGGAAAGCGTAAAAGTGGGCTTGAAGCTCAACATCAAAAAAACTAAGATCATGGCATCCGGCCCCATCACTCCTTGGCAAATAGAAGGGGAAGTCGTGGAAGTAGTGACAGACTTCACGTTCCTGGGATCCCAGATCACCGCAGATTGTGACAGCAGCCATGAAATTAAAAGACGCCTTTTCCTTGGGAGGAAAGCGATGGTGAACCTAAACAGCATGATAAAAAGTAGAGACATCACCCTGCCAACAAAAGTCCGCATGGTCAAAGCAATGGTATTCTCAGTAGTCATGTATGGCTGCGAGAGTTGGACTATAAGGAAGGCCGAGCGCTGAAGAATAGATTCTTTTGAACTATGGTGCTAGAGAAGACTCTTGAGAGTCCCTTGGGCTGCAAGAAGATCAAATCAGTCAATCCTAAAAGAAATCAACCCTGACTGTTCCCTGGAAGGCCAGAGAATGAAACTGAAGTTCAAATACTTTGGCCACCAAATGAGAAGGGAGCACTCACTGGAGAAGACCCTGATGCTGGGAAAGATTGAAGGTCAAAGAAGACGGGGATGGCAAAGGATGAGATGGTTAGACAGTGTCATAGATGCAACAAACAAGAAATTGAGCAAACTTCAGAGGACGGCAGAAGACCGGAAGGCCTGGCGTGATCTGGTCCATGGGGTCGCGAAGAGTTGGACTCGACTGTGCGACTGAACAACAACAACATGGCAGCCTAACAGCGGACAGGGTCACCCACCCAGCTGTTAGGGAACTCAGAAGGCCTTCTGAACTTGCTGAATTGTGCTGCCATGGCAGTGCGACTCAGCAAGTGAACTCAAGGCATTTAAAGTTTAAATGTCTTCTGCATTCCATTATAGGCTATGGGGACAATCCCCATAGGGTATAATGGAGCTTAATAAATTCGGGTTTCCCAGATACTTACCCAAATCTCAATTTTAAAAAAGGTAAAGGTTTCCTTTGCTTGAAAGCTAGTCGAATCCGACTCTAGTGGGCGGTGCTCATCTCCATTTCCAAGCAAGAGAGCCAGCACTATCCAAAGATGTTCCCGTGGTTATGTGGCTGGTATGACTAAACGCCGAGGTGCATGGAACACTGTTACGTTCCCACTGAAGCAGTACCTATTTATCTACTTGAAAATTCCTGCTTTCAATACAATACCAATATTGGGATTCGGGCAAATTCGGGAATACCAATATTTTTCAGGTCCAATAGACCTCAATTGGAAAAATATCGGGGGGGAAAATTTTACACGCACTTTTTGAGCCACTGGAAGATTTGCTGCGCATTCTATTATATATGAATACTTTCTCAGATGGATATATAGATTTAGGTTAAGGTCCAGCGGGCTATGTGTACAGTACTTGTTAGTCACCTCTTTCTTTCTGCTGTCCCTGAAAAGCTGACCTTAAATTTTGGAGAACCCCTTGAGCAGTGCTGTGTTGTGTGAAAGGAGCTATCACTGGAAGGAGAAGACTTCAACTCCTGTGCAACTCCTTGTGCTCATGGCCCTTTTTAGGTTCTGTCTAAATGATAACATGCATTTGTCAAGATAAGTAGTTCCCAGTATCATTATTAGCATTCTTAACTGTAACTTTGGACTTTTGCAGAACTCTCTGACCTATTTGTTTCATCCAGCTACAATCAAATTGTCTTGGCAACACATGCGGATAATTCAGGTCTTCATGTGCCAAGGAGAGCACAGGCGAGCGCTCAGATACATACAGATGATGAAGCCATCAATGACCAGCAGCAGTGAAGTTGCACTACATCTTACTGTCTTGCTGTTCAATAGGTAAAGAGAAGGAACGAATTATCTTCGTAATGATGTTGGGCTATATTAAAGAAAAACACCTCTATGTTATTGTTGCTGCGCATTCTTAATATAACAAAGTAGCATGAGTTGGATATTCTAACTACAGCCTGAGCTAGCGGCCTTACACAGTCTAAGAAGATCAAGGAGCTGACTGTGAGGAGAGAGAACTGAGTGACAACGACCGCTGTGAAATTACCAATATTAGCACTTTATTATGTCTTATGGTTTAAATGGTTTTAGAATTGTTTAATTGTTTCAATTGTTGCTGCTTAATCTATATTCTATGCATACTGTAAATTCTATGTTGTTTTTATGTAAGTTGCCCTGAGTCGGCCTCGGCCGGGAGGGCGGGGTAGAAATTTAATAAATCAAATCATATATGTATCCAGATACTAAGTGCACGTTAATGCAAATTTATTTTTTTCTGTGGGGCAAAGTTTTAATCTGTGTTTCAAAAATCAATTGTAGTTGTATGGTGGAAGCATGGAGTGTGTTGCGGCAACATTCTACCAGATTAAATGTAGAAGGAATGCTTAAACATGTGTATGAAGTCTGCCAGGAGCTAGGACTAATGGAAGACTTGCTGAAATTGCCATTCACAGACACAGAACAAGTAAGTTTGGATGGGGATAAATTATGAGAGCACAATTCCATGTGTTAAAAAGTGATTGAAAACTTTTCTATATGTGTACAAGTACTTGCAAAATTACAGCCTTCTTAATATTTTTTGTTTTGTTTTTTTCTAGGAGTGTCTAGAGAAGTTCTTACAGACAAGTGCTGATGTTCATAATCATGAGTTCCTTTTAGTTCACCACCTCCAACGCGCCAACTATGTTCCTGCACTGCAGTTGAACCAGTCATTGAAGATGAATCTTCTGGTAAAAGCATAATTGTGATTGTTGAGATAGGTCTGGGGGGGAAATCAAGATGCTGACCTGGAAAAGTTACCTCGTTAGGCTGTCAAAATCAAGTATTCTATTTATAGCTTAGTCTTTTGTCTCACATTTGTGATAATGTCACCTAGTATCCATGTGTTAATGATTGCTTAAATGAAATTGACTAGAAGTAGTTTACTAATCCCGCTGAGATCCGTATGGGTAACAAAATACACTGAGGAAGTACGCTTGTACATGAAAGTTTATACTGTGAATACAACTTTGTTGGTCTTAAATGTGCCACTGGACTCAAGCTTTGTTCAAAATACACTTGGATAAAACTTGTTGAATGTGTAACTTACATGGTAGCGCTGAAGTAATAATCAAATGTGCAAGTTTAAGTGGTCATGTGTAAGGCGCATTACAGGGCAAAAGTATGCTTTAATTTTTCTAACAGAGATGTAATGTATGACGTAGCAAGTTATTTGATAGAATCTGGTAATAGAGCAAGAACAATGAAAAATTGTCTGGGTTTGGAAGTTTCTTGAAGCTGGTGCTGGGACATACCCATACACATGACCACAGAAAATTTCAGCTAGGAGCCATTATTGGGCTTGCTTTCCAAAACAGCCTAAGCAGCACATAGCTGTAATTCGTTTATCAATTTCCTAGCTTATTAAAGAGCAGTGCCCACTGCGTGTCAGTGAGCTCCTCCATAGGATAGTCTATAGTGTCTTGTGTTCAAGCTTGCCCTCATGCCAAAATCCTTGCTTGCATTTTTACACCAAAAGAAAATAGCAAATCGATCATCCTGGCAAAATTAATCTGGCTGTTTCAAGATTGAATCATACTGATTATCCCGAAAAGAAACTAAATTTTCTAACATACGTATTTTATATACTTTTTGGGCTTTCAGTTATTCCATAATTTAAACGTTCAAAATAAAATCCTTTCATCCAAAGTCAGGTTTTTTAGTATTTGCAGCCTTCCTTTTCACCGTATGTTTATTGTTTTCCATGATACTTCAACAAAGAATGACCTTACAAATTAAAAATAAATAAATCACAAGCTTGTGGGTTACAGTACTAACCAGTGGTAACAAACAAATAAAACTCCCTATGCCAATTTGTTCTCTAATATAGTTCAGTCAGTAGTGCATTAACAGTTGGCTAGAGCAAAATCTCCCAGTCTCTTTGGTGTCAAACTCATATGATCCATGCAATGTACAATTTCACCATGTAGTATTGATCTAGGATAGAATTTGTCTTGCACTGCCTGTGTAAATGAGAGGCCTCTTTAGTGATTGTATATTAGGTTTCTAAGGTGCTAATGGACTGAAATCTAGCTGCTGTATTTGAATTATTTCTAGAAGTGTTCTCTTGCAGTTCATCTCTTTTTGTGTTTTAATAGAATGACCGTGATCCCCGTTGGAGAGAGAGATCAGTTGCCAGAAATTCTATATTAGAACAGTATGGGAAGGTCCTACCTAGGGTGCAAAGGAAGCTGGCCGTTGAGCGGGCCAAACCATACCATTTGCCTTCTTCACTTCGTCGGGAAGGTAATTTTCTCATTTCATTAGGCAGCCGTGAAACTCTTTAAAATGCTTTAGTGTTTTAATTCCAGTTTCCCTTTTTCTTTTAGTTATAAGACCAAAGCCATTATCAACAATTGCAAAGCATATTGCTAAAGGGAATGTAGTTACAAAAGCAACTTTCATCAGTAAGGTACTTTCCAAAATAGGAGAGGTGTGGATGGGAACTGAACAGAAAAGTAAATCAATTCAAAATGATACGTAAGTATTCCCCCCCCCCCAAAAAAAAATATTCCATTAAATGTTAGCTTTATTAATTCTGATAGCTTGGCATCACTGCACACACTCTTTTGTATGGTGCTTTACAGTTTGCATCTATGTGGGGGAAGGTGGGGAAATAAAATCAAGCAGTATTGCAAAACGTGACAGCCTTAATTTGGGGTTTTTTAAGATTTGTGGGAAGTAACACAGGTTAATTTATTTACCTGGCTGCTGTTTTGTTAGTTGTAAACTTTGTTCATTTACAAAGGTGACTGCATAGTAGATACATCAGTGTAGTGACTTTTATTAACTCTGTGCTATCTGTTTCAAAACCTAGTTCTGAGGAACAGCCGTCCAGACTGGATGACACTGAGTTGCCTGATCCATTTGTAGGAACACCTGTCACTAAAACGTTAAGGAAGTGCTCCAGGTAAAATTATTTAACAGTAACAATCATCAGTATACTTGAAATTTATCGGCAGATTTTTATCTATCCACTAAATTGGATAGTGGATTGCTTCTAATAGTAGAAGCAGTAATTGCTTCTAACAGTATTGCCTGATGTGAGTTGAAAGGTACCATAACATAACCTATCCATTCTTGTATGTAGGCCTCTTAACTTTGGGGCATAGTAGTAATATGCTTTGTACAGCTTTTTATTACTAAACTGAACTGATGTACCCCCCACAAAGCATTACACTCTGGCAAGAAGAACTTTCTGGTGATCCCTGGCCCAAAAAACATCTGGCTGTCCTCAACCAGAGCCAGGGCTTTTCCAGCCCTGGCTCCCACCTGGTAGAACTCTGCCAAATGAAACCCGTGCCCTGTGGGACATAATGCAGTTCCGCAGGGCTTATAAGACAGAGATGTTCCACTATGCCTATGGTTGAGGACAGCTCCACCCCGCCTTGCTCCTTCTGTGATGGACAGCAAGCAATCGCAGGCTTTTAAGTAATGCTGCTTGAGAAATGGTGAGCTAGTAAAAAAAATGATGGACAGTTCACGGAGCTCCTTCTGATTGGGTGAAGTCTGCTTACTGTGGAATGGAACACCGAGCTGTTTAAAAAAATCAAGTGGGAAGGAATTGGTGTAGATCAGTTGGAGTTGGAGCTAGAGAGGGGAGTTAACAGAAAACTCCTAGTGAAGAGACTAGACTAGAGCAGAGCAAGTGTGTTGTTGCTGCTGCAAATAACAGACTTAGTATGGAGACAGTGAGTCTGGCAAAGAAGTGTCAGAACCTCACCTATTCAAGGAGTAGAGAGAAATCTCCTTGTGTAAAAAGCAGAAACGCTACTTGAGTGGAGAATTAGTCATTCTCAGTATGGAAGCTTATTAACCAGTTTACAGAGACTGTTCTTCTGGAAGATAGGGATTTGACAAAAGGTTTGAGGAGGCACAGAGATCCCTCAAGCAAATCAAAAGAGGTTATTGCTTTTAAGATGAAGAGAATAAAAATCTGGCCAGAAGAAGAGGGTGTAGATTTGTGGGGGGGAACCAGTCTAAAAAAAATAGGGTTAAAGCATAATAAAATCTCAAGTCTGTGTGACTATCCAGTAACTAGTTCAAAAGAAGGTATAAGGGACTCTATTAAACTCTGTATCACAGTAGAAACAGTGAAACATCTCCAACAGCAAAAATAAACCAGGGAAAATAACTTACTAAACATCTCTAGTGTTGTATAAAAGCAGTTTTGGATATATATTTGAACCTCTCTTTACCAAACCTACCCAAAGTTCACTTGTAAATAAAATTTTCCAATCCCTGTCTGTTTGTTCCAATAAATTTGATTTCTGTTTCAACTTTCAGTGTGCCTAGGTGCCTATTTCTGAGGGAGAATATTTAGAGGTACAGACCCTCCTCAATCACAGTTCCTTATTTGGGGTGTAAGCTGACAAATTATCAAACAGTAATAAGGTGGGACAACAGCATTATAATAAAAGTTTATTTACCACATAAGAAGAGTGACATGCTACCTAAAGGCTACCCAGTTATCAGATGGGGAACAGAAAATTCATAGGGAGGTTGGAGGGAAATTCTGAGACCTTATAAGGGTGATTGTTTGATGGGAGTGCCCATCTGGTAGACCCTCCTTTCTCTCTTCCTTCCTCATGGGGTAAGGATACAAATTGTTTGATTTTAAGTGTCATCTGAAACTGCTGTGTATTGTTGATTCTAAGCATCATCTGAAACCGCTGTGCATTGTTTTTACTGCTTTTAAATGTTTTAACTTGATTTGTTTATTTGGAATTGTTGTTCACTGCCCTAATCCCTGTGCACAGGGGTGGGCAGTCTATTAGTTAAATTTATAAATAAATATAAATAAAATAACAAGTGAACTATGCTAATAAACTGATAACTACATAAAGCAACTTCAAATTGAAATGATAGTACTTCAAGTTGTCTGAGTAGGGGTGAAGATTGTGAACATACTTCTAAAACCCTCCTACGAGTACAGAGTTCATGATGAATCTTTGTGGGATGTGGGGGTGGATTTTCTTACTGAACATTAATACAAAACAACAATTCACTTAAAAATCTGACACATTTGCAGATTGCTCGAGTCGGTGGTTCGGCCTGTTGGTGTTTGCTCTCCTCCCCTTGGAAGTAATTTGCAGGTGTCGCCAAGAGCTTCTTGCATGCTTTCTAGTCCATTGCGTTCAAATCCTCGATGTTCCGTGCTGCTACATAAGAACCTCACAAGTGCACCAGAATTAAGATTACTGGAAACTCCTGCAGTTGTTAAGGTATATCGAATGGTGAAGGTTAAGTGAACCTATTGAAATGTGTTTGGTCTCTTATCTTACTATTAACAGTAAGAGTTTTATATATTATGATTATGATGATATATTTACTAGATATTCATTAAAGGATATTGATTTAGTTCAAAATTTATTGGATTGAAAGCAGTTTGGTTTTTACATCTATTCCTCAACTTGTCTGTTGTCTGGACTTTGGTGGGACTTAGTTCTAGGTGTGTGTTGTGTGTCCCCCCCACCCCCCTTTTGGTGCTTTGGTATAGGAGAACCAACATTTAAAACCAACATTCTGAAAAAATCAGCAAACAAAATACCTTTGTGCAAGTTGTAGTGGTTGTTTGCAGTAGAATATTATCTACTCCAGAAAGTATTCAAAATGATCATCTGTGGTTTTCTTCTCTGACAGTCCTGTGTAGAATTAGACAAGAGAGTTGATGTGGTATTAAGGTTTAAGACAGTTGTTTCTTTCCTCCTTAGAGAGCTAAAGCTTTGACATCTGCATCTTCCTCTGGCTTCCCTGGTTTTACTCCACAGTCTATTTTGAGATCTAGTCTACGCACTACACCATTAGCTACTCCAACTGCATCTCCAGGAAGATCTATTACTCCACCTTTACGTGCAAAAGAAACAAAAATATCATTTATGGAAGAAAACAAAACTTCTAGGGTAGGTTGCAAGGAATTGAGGCTGGAAAAGGGAACACTTGAGCATGAATTAGAAATGTCTCCAGCAATGTAGGATTTAGATTCACTAGGTGATTTGGATTGTCCCTGACCCCCATACTATCCATGTGTTTACTGAGGTGTTTGAAAAGAAGCCTGTCTGCACAGAACCCAATGTTCAAGGCCCTAATCTGTGTCATGTTATCTCTTCAAAACCAGGGTTTGTGGGTTCAGGGGGCAATACATTGGATGGTATGCATGTGGGCCACAACTGAATGTGATGTCTAGTGCGCTTAAGTTAACGTGGGAAGCACAAGCATGGTTCTGATTCCCACTCCCTTCCATGCATTGGTTTGACTCCCATGAGCCACAGGTACAAGGATTGCAGTTATTTTCCACATTCCACTCCCTCAGCAGTCCTTTCCAACCACAGGGAAGTTTAGGAAAGGGACTGCAGGGCCTGTGTGATGTAGTACCCATAAAGATTGGGAAGCTGCAGTGATAATGGGGAAGAAAGGAGTGAAATCACCCTCTTCTCCCCAGTCGGTTAAGCTGAATTGATGGAAGAGAGGAGATTTTGTCCCTCTTCCTAACTGCAGCCTCTTGACGTGTGTGGCTGTTATACCACACAGGTCCTGCAGCTGTAATAAAGCTGCTTGGGAATGGACCTAGATGGATGTGAATGTAGGAAGGATCTGTGACCATCAGCACCTTCTGCTGGTGGACTGCATGATCCAGCCCATAGCTTTGGCATGCGTAGATCCATGTCTCAACAAGGCTGTAGCGAGACAAAAAAATGAGCATATCCACTACCCAGAACCTATTTTAGAGTTTCCTCAGAGTTTATGATCTAACTGAAATTTTCTGCAGTTCTGTGAAAGGCAAACCCCCTTAAAGTGACAGTTGTTACATTTCTTTAATCTTGAAACTTGTGAGAAACGGCATGTTGCCTGCTTTATTGTGTTGATTAATTCTATGACCCATTGCTCTACTTATATTCTGACTTGTCTGAGCTCTTAACACTTTCAGTGCCCCCCATTCACATAAGTGAAAGGAGACGGGCTTCTTTTATTGAAATGAAAAGCCCTTGCAAGTGGGTGTTGCATTCTAGGCATTGGAAGGCACAAGTGGTAGCTTCCTTCATAGAAACAAATTAGGTATCTCTTGTAGGATGTCTGTTAGGGAAATATCTCTGTTCATTAGAATTTTACTACTATTTTGTGCTTGTTTTTAAAAGGTGACAATTCGTAAAACAAGACATAATGCAGTTTCATCTGAAAGCATTCTTGAGGCTCAAATGGAGGACATATGGTCTAAGACTAGAGGATTGCCCTCCTTTCCATCATGCAATGCTCAGGAAGACCATGAAGAAACTGACCTGTCTGCAGAGAGCATACCAGGAGATAACGTGGACAAATCAGAACCTTTCATAGAAACTAGCAATATTTTAATCAAGATGGACCAAACAACATTGGAATATCGTGCGAAAAAATTACCAGGTGGTGCTGGAGATACTATAGCCTATCATTGTGCTGATTCTTCATCTGAGGACATCTTAGACATACCAGAGTCAGTTGAAAGAGAAGGAAGTGAGGTAGCTGAAAGTGAATGTTTGCAAATGGAACCTCGGACACCTACAGATGTAGAACAATTGCCTGGTATGTATCATGTGATTTAGTTGTCTACAAGGGCAATAGCAGGACATTAAGAAGAGTGGATATATGAGAAGGGAGTTAAGAAAAATGGGCATTTGTAGATGTGAGAGCCATCTAGTCAACTATTGATCTCCACTGTGTAAATCATGTGCACTGAAAAACTCACAAGTAGCACACACCATTTGTCCACAGGATTACAGTTAGAAGATGTTTTCTGAAGATGGAGATCTTGTTTAAATATAAAGATTGTTAACCATTGGTAGAGAAATCCATGCCAGATAAGGTCTAATCTGCTTTTAAAAGTCATCAGAATATCTTGTAGCAGTGGACTCTGGCTGCATTAAAACCTTGTAAAAATAAATCTTGGTTTGTGATGAAAAGATGCCTTTGAAATCCTTGGGTTCATATGTGTACTCCCCTCTCACAGGGAGTAGGTCAGACTTCCTTGTTTGATTATAAACCACAGTTTGTCATGTTGGAATCAGCCAGAATGATCTACTGCAGTTTGTTTCTTCCATACAAAAGAGAGTTATATAAACCTTGGTTTAGAATGTTAAAGCAACTTTGTTTTAATATCCAAGAACCTTCTTACTCTTCTAGGTAAGAGACCAGAGGATTGTGTCATGTATCCTAAAATAGATATTCCATAAACATCATTGTCAGTAACAACTGCCCTTCTCTTGGATGCCTAGTATGAAGATCCCCTCCTCGCCCTGAGTTGTCTATGTGTTGCAGTGAGTTCAGAGTGAAGTATATCTCATTGTGCTCAGTGCAAAACATCCACAAACCCTCACTAGTTCTCTGGTGCTCAAGGAAAACTCTGGAAAGGCATGGGGTTTGTCCCAAACTTTGTACTGGGTTTTGGAGAGGGAAGGAATAGTGAGACTCAGGCTGCTTCTGTCTTCTCCTTCTTGCTAGAGGACTCCAAAGTGTCAGTGATAGCTAAGAATAATGGGTGACTCCTAAGGCAAGTTGAAACTAGTGTGTGTCATAGGAGTCAGATTTCATTTGTAATGGAAATACATTTTAGACTTCTGTAAATTGCAATAGGCGCCACGGTGGCTCAGAGGTTAAGACACTGAGCTGCAGACCAGAAGGTCTGTAGTTCAGCAGTTCGAGACCCTAGTGCGGCGTGACGGAGTGAGTTCCTGTCTCTGGCCCCAGCTCCTGCCAACCTAGCAGTTCGAAAGCAAGAAATTGCAAGTAGATAAATAGGTACCACTTTGGTGGGAAGGTAGCAGCGTTCCGTGCTCCCTTGACGTTTTGTCATGCTGACCATGTGACCACGGAGAAGTCTTCGGGCAATGCTGGCTCTTCGGCTTGGAAATGGAGATGAGCACACATACCCCGAGTTGGGTTCGACTAGCTCTCAAGGAAGGGAAACCTTTACCTTTAAATTGCAGTAACTTTAGAAGTGGGATTATTATGCTTTATACAATGCATATACTTTTAAATGATTTGGTAGAGAGGATACCATCTGTATTTGTCAGTAAGCTCTGCTGTTTTGTTGTTTGCAGGATTTACGGAAGAGGAAGAAAAGGGATCTGGTGCCCTCCTTGAAGATGGAGTATCAGTGACAGATCACTTAAATGCTGTCCAAGATGCTGTAGTCTCTTCTCTTGTGCCATCTAATAAAAGGTGAATAGTAAACTTGAAAAAGAAGAGTGTAATCATTCTTTTCTTAAAACCTTGGTTGTTGCAATTACAGTGCTTAACATTTGTGTAACCTTGTTACAGGATTGGATCTTTTCTGCTGTTGTTTTCCTGACAATTGGAAGCTGCTTTTTGAGATGATTGATCGAGTATTTAATGAATATTCTATTTTCCCACCTCCTAATCTTGTATTTTTGAATAACACTCTATCCCTACCTACATTAATTGCCAAAAAGGATACCATATTTTCTTGAATGCAGTGTAGAATGTGTGTGCTGCTTTCCAAAATTTGTTAGACATTATGAGAGCTAACTTTTCATGGATAGAGTGTGCTTAATTTTTCTTCTTATTGAGTGGGGGTGGTAGTGAGCACGTGTAATTCTGTGTATGTTTGTTCATTGTTGCTTATTCCCAAATAAATTGGACTTGCTGCCAAGTAGACATAAATAGTGTACACCGTGCTTAGGGTTGTCAGGTCTCCTCATTCCTCCAGCAGGGGAATTTGAGTGGCATTCTGGGTATAAGTGGAGACATTGTGTGACATCCCCAATGCAATGATGTCACCTGGAAGTGACATCATCACATTGGGGACACTTTGGTATTTGGGCTAAACTCTGGGTTTTTTTATCTCAAAATCATAGAGTTTACCTAGATACCAGAGTGCTGTCCCGCAACGTCCCTGACATGATGACATCATTTCTGGGTGACCTCATTGCATTGTAACATCCCTGTTTAGGGGAGGGGCCATAGTAGAGGGAAGCTGGCCCATAGTAGAGGGAAGCCCCTGAAACTGGGGGATCCCCCACCTGGACCTGGGGGCTGGCAATCCTAACTGTTGTAACCACCAATGGCCTGCCTCGTTGTTTGGGGGAAATTAACAGGGGAGGCCAGAGGGGTATCAGGGATTGCACACCAATTTATACCAGGGTCCAGTACAGTAGGAAGACTCCAGATTTGAAGAGTAAATTAAATAGTTTTATTGAAGAACTAGGAAAAAGGCCCGTTGTGGAAATAAATACAACGGCCTCTAGAAAGAGGCTCTGGGCGGATGCCCCAGCCTTGGACACTCAGTGTCAGTTTGCTGTGGCGACCTCAGCAGGGTATAATGACACTGAGTCCACCATTTTCTCCAGAGGAACTGATCTCTGGTACCTAAAGAACAGTTGTAATTTTGATTGCTCTCCAGCCCTCACCTGGAGACTGGCAACGATGGATCCCCAGAAGGGAATCGTTGGTTTGGAAGATGGAATCTATGGCTTTGGACCTGTCCGAGGTCCCACGCCTGCTGAAACCTCACCCTCTCCAGGCTCCATCCCTCACATCTCCAGGAATTTCCCACCTGGAGTTGGCAACCCTATCTTCTTCCCAGCCAATCATCAACCCACCTTTATTTCCCCCTCACTCTTCAGCTTTCCAACCCCCACACACCTGCAGCCTCTCCCGTGCTCTGAAGCCCTGACTGCTACGTCACATTGGCTGTCATATGGGGGCAACCTCAGCAGCATATAAGGATACAGAGGCCACCATTTTCTCCAGGGGAACTGATCTGCCATTTGGAAAGCAGTTGTAATTCTGAGTGATCTCCAGCCCTCACCTCGAGATTGGACACATTTTACCTCAGAACAGCAAACTGTTTAGAATGTTAGAGGAAAAAGCCAATCAAGTCGCATGTGCAAATGACCTCTGTGTTCCGAGGCAAAGGCCAATGAGGCTGCTTATGCAAATAATCTCTGTGTTCTGACTGGCTATGGGGAGGGGAGAGGAACAGCAAACTGTTTAGAATATTGGAGGCGAAACTCAAGCAATGCAACCAGTGGATAGGGACAGATTCTGAGTGACACACCAGGTGGCCAACCAATTCCGGAGTGTGTGGAATGTTCTAGAGAAGTGCCACCACCATTCGGCTTTTATTTATAAGGGAGATGTTCCTAATTACACGTACACTAAGCATTCAAAAAGAGCAAGCAATACAGAACTAAGAAAGCAGAGGTGATTGATGGTAAATAGAGGGGTCAGTTATGGGGTAATACTACCTGTCCAGATGTGCAGAGGTCCTTGAAGAGAACAGTGCTAACGACCAGTGTTATACGCTATGGAGAAGGCCAAAGAAGAGTCTCTGGGGGTGTACTCAAAGTATAGGTGCTGTCCTGAGTGCACACCTTGATGGACGTGTGTGGATGGATATAGACCTTGGAATACAATGCAGACCAATGGGAAGTCTTGAGGGGCTTGTCCCAGGTGAAGACAAAAGACTACCTGGACCAATGAGGAGCCCTGGGGGTGTGGTGTCAGGAGGGGCAAGACCCAGGTGTAACCAGTGAGGTTTCAGGGGGGCAGAGTCTGGATTTACAATAGCGTTGATGGGATTAACTGGGTGCTGGGTGACTGTACTGGGCTAGCTGAATGGGTTTGATGATGGTCCTGCCAGGGCAGGTTGAATAGATTCCCAGGTTTAGACAAAAGGTGGGAGATGGGTCCCTGATAGCGCCAGGAAGGACAGCTAAACATTTAAATGTATGATTGGTTTATTTCGGTATCCTGAGGGAAGGAGCAGGAAAGGATTTTCACACAAAAGGGCTGGGTGAAGTTCTGAAGACAGAAAGGCTATTCGCCAGGTGGCCTCTGAATAGCCTTTAGAACTTTACCTGGTGGAACCCCTTGTTATTCCATAAACATACCTCTGCTAGGTGGAGGGGGAGGTTGGAGGGCTGCCTTGTGCCACCTGAAAATGGAGACCCTTTTTCCAGAGCTTTGGCTAGGTCTGTGTTTCAAGCCAGGAATAAAAAAAGCCTTCCTTGGTCTGAGTTTGTGGGTCTCTGGCTCAGGTTAGAAGTGGGGTGCTTCGCTGTTTAGGACTATCCACAAATAAGGCAGTGCCTCTGGGCTACACTGTGCATTGTGCAAATGACATTATTGATCAATGAGAACTGTTCCTTGAATAGCAATAGCAGTTTCCTACGAGTTTGCTGTTAATTGTTCCTTTCAAATTATACCATAACAGAATGTATCCCAATCTTTCCCATTGAAACTGTTCTATCTCCTGTGATGTCACTCTAGAATAGTCATAGAGGTTGTGGCAAAAAGGTGAATTTATGGCCTTTGTAAAAGACTAGTATGCTTTTAAAACCCTTTCCATACCTCTAAGTAAAATATTCCTTTTGTCTTCAAAAAGTGGAACACTTACTCTGGAATCCAACAAGACATCATTGTTGGAAGACAACAGACTCCTTTCTGAAACAAGTACTGAAGCTTTGGACCCAACAGGAGCAGATGCGGAATGTAAGTATAATGTGAATTATCATACAAACTGAACAAGTGGAAAGATTTTTTCTTTTGCTAGACACTATCAAGAGAAAAGCCTTGAAATGCCAATGTTTGAAGTGTGTAATTCTCTTACGTGTGTCCTTGGCGAGTCTTTCCTGTAAAGCATGTATGTTTCTAAAATCTTGTCCTGCTTGATTTGGATCCAAACATGCCTTCCCCATGCAAAAAGTAATGTCTGCACATGGACAGGCTCTTACATCTTGCATTGCACAGCAGTAGAGAAATTTAAATCCAAAGTTCTTTCTGTTATGCAAACTCATGTACAAACAGAAGCATGAGAACTGCTATAGAATCTTGTTTGTAGCACTGTGTGAACTCTTGTTCAAGGCTTGTTGAACAATGCTAGCTGTTATTTTCTTTATGCTCATGATTCTATAGATCCACATAGTTCCTCACATTTTATCTGCTGACTCCTGAATCTGATGTGGGTTTTCCAGAAAAATTAGAACTGGTAAATTATCCAGAAAATTATCTGATGCACTAAGTAGATCATGAACTGATTTAGCCTGTATGTTTTGATGTATTTGGGAAACAAATTTAAAAATACCCCATGTTGATTTTGTGTGATTGGCTGTTGCCTGTAATTTAATTAAAACTGAGCATAAAGTAGTTGAACGTTACTCTGAGTAGAGCAGAACCCAAACAGTTTCTCTTTTCCTGATGGCCTCAAGGATAAAGAGAACAGAAGCTTTAAAAAGGAATACGTGCCATTATCAATTTTACTAGAGAATCCCTATCGTGCAAAAAAAAGGGGGGGGTAGATTTCAGGGAGGGGTGTGGTTTGGAGCTACATGCATGGAACCTTTCCCTGTGCAGGTAGCCTTTCGTTTGGAAGCTTTCTGCTTTATCTGGAGACCTTTTGTGCTGATGTTGAATTTTTTATTTATAGTGCTATCAAAGTGGTTGAACAAAATTTCGGGAAAGGCCCACCAGTTATGTGTAGTACATTATGCTTGTTTGAACAGGAAGTGCCAGTGCCCCTCGTGGGGAAAATCACACGTCTATGTAAATCGATAGTCAAGTTGAACTAAAGTCATAGTATACAACTTAATCTAATATACAACTTAGTCTTCTCTCCAGCATAGTATTTTTCTTTTCAAATAGAAAAGACATATTGGAGCACCTCAGATTTACTTGCTGAAGCTATAATTGGTGTAAGTCTGTAGTTTTTATACTTGGACTAGATGATATAATACATGTAACTACTTGCTTGGTTTATTCATTAAATTTCAGCTGGTACATAACTAGAATGCCTCTTCTTCATATGTAGTTTAAAGTTATTGAGAGCCATTGTCATGGCTTCGGTGCAGTTCTGGCGCGGGAGGTGAGCTTTCAAGATTTCAGAGCTTTCCAGAGCATACAAATGCTTCCTTCCATCTCAAGCCCTGCTTTTTCTGCCCAAGGGGTCATGTGATGGAGGCAGGGAGAGCGCCCCTCCCTCATTTTTTGCCACTGTGAGGAGAGGACAAGCTTTCCACTGTCTCTTATTCAACATTTTGTGAAGTGAACTCACCTTAAGCAGCCCAGTAGGATGGCGTTATTTAATAATTGTGGAGAATGTGGGTCTAAAATGGCCCCAGACGATGAGCATACATTGTGTCTGTTATGTCTTGGAGAAGACCACAATGCTATCTCTTGCACTGTGTGCTGCTGTATGACCATGAGGGTAAAGCAGCCTGACTGAAAGCACCATTGTGGGAGAAAGCCTTGGGTACCCTGGACCCCTGTGCTGAAAAACAGGCTCAACCCAGAAAAAACCCAGAGCACCCTCGGCATCAAAACTAACACTGTCCGTATCAGAGATTGCAGAAAAATCAACATTGATGCAGGCATTGGCATCAGAATCACCACTGACAAAGGCGAAGAGGAAAGCAAAGCACGCTCCCCATGGCTCCCCTCAATGCTGATCGCCATCTCCATGGCATCAACAGTCACTGTCTCCTTGGCGTCAAGGAACACCATCCACTCAAGGTTGAATACCAACATCTTCTCATGCTCAGTCGGAGTTGCCTGACCCGTGTTGACCAGATACCTCCACTACCATTGCACTCCCCATGTCAACGGTCCTTTTGCAAGCTACCAAAGCACCATGGGAAAAGCCTTCATCAGCTCCGGTGTCAACAAGACGCCTGGACCACATGTACAGAGTCCAGGAGGCAGGTGCCGAATTTTTATTTTCCCAACCAAATTCGGTGGTCGTAACATCCTCATCCAAGTCGAAACAAACGCACTTGGCACCCTCTGACAGGGAAAGTAGGAAATTAGACGTATTCGGAAGACGCTTCTACTCCACGGGTGCGTTGGGGGTCAAAACCACTAACTACCTGGCCTGCATGAGCAGATATCAATATACTCTGTGGGAAAGGTTCTCTGAACTCCTGACCCACCTCCCTGAAGACAAGCTTCAGACGGCCAGGATTATTCAGAAGGAAGGCATGGTCCTTGCGAAGCAGCAGATCAACACTTCCAAACATGCCCTAGATGCTTCCTCTAGAACAATGGCCTCAGCAATAGCTCTTAGGAGGCACTCCTGGCTCCGCAATACCAATCTTCCACAAGATACTAGGTCCTATGTCGAAGACCTTTCTTTTGATGGCCTTGGTCTCTTCAATAGCACGACCGATACCATGCTCCAGGATATGGATAAGAGCATAAAGGCCTCTCGCGCTCTAGGAGTGTTATCCTCCACGAGGCAACAATATCGCCCTCGCATCTGGTCTAGGCCCTGGTAAAGACGCACCCCAAATCGTCAGTCTCCTGACAGACAATGGAGACCACGTATGGCTTCAGGTGGTCAAAGACCCGCCTTTCAAAAGCCTAAGTTTGGAACTGGACAACAGCCCTCCCGCACCAAACAAGCAAAGTCCTCCAAGCAGGGCTTTTGACTTCCCTCCTACGGAGTCAGCAAGTCGTCGTCACCACACACCCTTCCCTGCCTCTCCTAGACGAGGTGTCCGTCCTTCTGCAAAAGGGAGCCATCGAACGGGTACCTCCATGGGATGGGATTTTATTCCCGATACTTCACAGTCCCAAAGCAGGATGGAGGCGTTCGACCCATATTAGATCTAAGGGAGCTGAACTGTTATGTCACCTACCACCGCTTCCGCATGGTGTCCTTGCAGCAGATTATGCCACTTCGGGAAAATGTCTGGATGGCCACCCTCGACCTCCAAGACGCATACTTCCACCTCACCATCCACCCCTCCCACCGCCAATACCTACGCTTT